CTTACTCTTCCTCGAGTACTCTTCAGCTCTCTGCCTACTCCGATGCTGATTGGGCTGCCTGCCCTGATTCACGACGATCTATCACAGGCTATTGTGTTTTCTTGGGCTCGTCACTGATCTCTTGGAAAGCCAAGAAACAAGCTACTGTATCCAGGAGTAGTGCCGAAGCAGAATACCGAGCTCTTTCACAGACAACTTGTGAATTATTATGGCTTCGGAAATTACTCCTCGATCTACAAATCCAGTCTCCTGCTCCTATTTCGGTGTTCTGCGATAGTCAATCAGCCATTCATCTCGCAAACAACCCCATTCACCATGAGAGAACGAAACACGTGGAGATAGACTGCCACTTCATCAGGGATCATGTTCATTCTGGTGTAATTAAACCCCTGTATGTTTCTTCTCATGAGCAGGTGGCTGATATGCTAACAAAACCGATTGCTTCCGATGCTTTTCAGTATCTCCTTTCCAAGATGGGAATACACAATCTGTATTCTCCATCTTGAGGGGGAGTATTATCGGTACAATTTTCAATTCGGTTTTCTTTGGTATGCGGTACTTGGTTTAGCAGACAAATGTCATTGTCTGCAGAGCTATGTATCAATACCGTTTTTGCTGTCTGTATAGCCTTTTTAGCTTAGGTTAGTTTTTCGCAATGATTCTTTTCTATTCATTGAGTTGTATATAATCATGTACAAGGCCATTGGGTAATACACAGAGGAAATTCTAAAACTTTCCTCCAAGTTCTTTGAAGCTCGAAATTAACTAGAGCTAGATTCATCATAAAAAAAATCTCTAATTTATCAAAATAGGAACACCACAAAAAATCATATGAACCTATTAAATAAATAAATATATTAATTTATAATTTTGTAAAAAAATATATAAATTTTAAAATTTTTGATATAACTACACACAAGTTTGTATAAAAATACACAAACTTTTAAATTTTTTGGTGTACATCAACACAAAAAACAATTTAAGTTAGTGTTGTTGTTAATTTACACCTAAATTTTTAAAATTTTTATATTTTAATACAAAATTAGAAGTTTATATATTTATTTACCAAATTTTAAAAAATTCATGTTTTTTACTATATAATAAGTTATTATCATGGTTACGAATTTTATGCGGCACTTTAAATGCCTCGAGAAATTAAGAAAAGAAAAAAAGGAGTGTTTGGTGGAAATTAGATAGGAAAATAGAATTTCTTATGCGTAGCGACTTTCGTCACTATAATTTATTAGGCCGCGAATTATAGGAAACACTGCGTAATAATATACCCTCGTGTTTGACAAAAATCCTATGGGTTTGACTTTTCTAACTTTGACTCGGGATCCATTTCCACAAGTTTTTTTTACCATGGCACACATTTTATTTTTAACAATGAAATTATGATTCGATTATTTTTGGATTATATTTTTATTTTTTAAAACTATATTTATTTAATTTTACACTAAATTCAAATCACCACGTATATTTTGAGTTTTAATTTTCTTTAAAAAAATATTTTTTAAAAATGATTTTCATTTTCATTTTTCACCCCTATTCATTTCTAATTTGATTTAAAAAATATAGTATTTAATTAGATTTTAAATGAGGTTCCGTTCAATCACACATTAATCTATTTGATTTTTTTATACATTTTTTTTTTTGTTTCACATTATTTAGAGCTATTTTGATTTTTAAAAATTTACCAAAATATATCATTTTCATACCGAAACCAATTTCCGATGATATTTGATAATTTTATGTTCGAATGATAAAATTGTTGAAATAGGAAAATAAATATGTGATTGAAGGAAATAGAAATAAATAAGATCGATACACAATATTTGATATAATATTATGTCCATAATTTATGGATTTTTCAAAAGACAATGAAAATGTCTATGGATTTTTATCGCATTATCTTTTCAAGATTGATTTTTGCATTCTTTCAAAATCAATCTTGAGGGAGAATGTTGAAATAGGAAAATAAATATGTGATTGAAGGAAATATTAATTTTAAGATATGATTAGAAATAATAATGGGCATAATATTATATCAAATATTGTGTATCGATCTTATTTATTTCTATTTCCTTCAATCACATATTTATTTTCCTATTTCAACAAAAATAACCCTCTAACAAATTCGTTTCCATTTACGAAGAAATGTATTAAAAATTAAATAAAATAATCATGCAGTTTACTAAATACGTGGAACAACCACGTTGTATCATGTCCAGTAGTCACATCACATCCAACATGACAGACAAAATAGACTGAAGACAGTTACTACTGTACTGTTTGGCCTTAGGTTTTATTTTGTTGAATTTTAAAAGAAATAGATCAACCTATATCATTGTGTTACATAAAAAAAAACCCATTGGATTCAGATTCAGTCATCAAATAAATATTCGTTTATTTTATTTTAAAATTTTAATTCTTCATTTTTCTAATAATTTTTCATTTTCAAAAACAAAACAAAACAAAATTAGATGAGATAAACCATGAGATATCAAGATATCCTGCTGGTTAAGAGTAGATAATTTAAAATTTTTTAAATATTTATATCCGATTTGTAATTTTTGGATATCCACAATATTGAGTATCCATAAAAACCATAGATATTTGTTAATATCCTTATCCGAGTCAAATTATGATAAAAATGATAAATAAACTTATAAAATAAATTCAAACACAAATAAAATATATAATTCATCATGTACAATGATATTCAAATTTTATAACATAAATTTTCTAAATCAACTCAAATACAAATACAATAATAATCTATCATATACAAACATATTCAAAGTTTAAAATTCAAAATAATAAGTATTCTAAATCTCCATATTTAAAAGATCGGTCATCATAAACTTTTATACGCCTTAACTCTACATGAAATAACTCTACATATTATAAAAAAAACTCTACATGAAAAACTTATAAAGATTAAACAACTTAAATATCTACACCAAATTATTGATATATTTAATTATATTTTTAAAAAATATGGATCGAATCGGATATGTTGGATAATTCGATTTTTATATCCGTATCCGATTCATATCTGACAAATATTTTAAAATTAATATCCTTATCTGATCTTTGAACTCAAATTTTCGATTTGAATACGAATTGAATAATGAATTGATTTTGTTTTTCGAATATTATGCCTACTTCTATTTAGTGGTATCTATTTTGGTTTAGATATTTGTTTATTTTATTCCAAGTTGGAATAAAAATACCCAGACATAGCGATAAAGTTGTTTGGGAGTACAAAGTATTTTTTTCACTTCGAGCCTCATCTGAAAATCATCATTATAAAAAAAATTGGAATAAAAATAAAGTAAATAATAAATAATGACATATTTGAAACTGAATTTCATTAAAAATTTTATGAAATTAAAGAAAGTGAATTAAAGTTTAATATAAAAATAAAATTGGGGAAGTCAAAATTTTTAAAACTTTTTAAAGTGAATACAAGTTCAATGAAACCGAGTTAGTGTAGAAACCAAATTAATGATAAAAATTTGTTTAAATAAAAAATTGATATAGAAAAGGTTAAAATTGAAAATTTTGATATAAAACCCGGGATCCAAGATATCACTTTAACTTAGCAATTTTTATCATGAAATACAAATTTAAAAATTTAATCTCCTCAAAATTAATAATATCTATAATTAAAAAAAAATATTAACTCGAAAAATAATAAAGGGTATATAAAATTAAGAACGAAACTAGTCGAAAGTCTGGGATAAATCGGAAGACATCTGACTGGTAGTTGTAAATATAAAAGTTCAATTTTTATAAGAAAAAATAAATGTAATTTCATCCTTTTATGAATATCAAATTATTTTGTTATTTAAAAAAAATATTAACGTAATTTGTATTTTTAAGAAAAACTAAATTTAACAAAATACCAATTATATTTTTATAATTTCATTGAATATTTGATTTTTGAAATAAAACTCCGAATTCAAAATGACTTGTATGCTTGACTTTCAATAATTTGGATGAGATGATATATTTCTAGGTCTAATAATTTTTTCCAAATGTGCATCAAATCAATGTACACTAAATACAAAATATTTTAGAAAATGAATAAACACCTTAAATAAATATGTGCCTAAATTTATTACTGTAATCAAATTATAAAAAATTATTTAGTATATTAAAATTATAAAAAAATGTTCCAAGTAATTATTTTTAATTTCTAATGTATATACATCACTTATAAATTTTTTATATAAAAAAATAATGACATTGAAGTTAAAATAATTATATTTTGAATTTCCTAAAAAATCTAATTATATTTAATATTATTATTGTTTTTATAAAAACTTAATAACATTTTAGAACATAATATTTTTATATAGAAATTTCAAGTAGTTATATCTATTTATTTTCGAGACATGAATAACTTACATATCTGTGCGATTTTCCAGTAAAATTGTCATCATCTGATAAATCCTCTATGTTTATTTGGAATATGTTAATGAAATATTGCTTTCGAATGCATCATCTTCATGTGTGTTAATATATTTAATAAAAATCAATTTAATATATAATTTAATTCCTGACACTATATTTTAATTACACGAAAACTTTATACTAAATATGGCAGAATTTTAATTTTAGAATGAATGTCCATATAATTTCTTTGCCCATACTCTTACCTAGAAATTTCAAATAACAAAGGGTCTTATTCATTATTGTTGAACTAATTTCCAATACTAATGAAGCTATACTTGTAGGTCATTAAGTAGCTTACTAATCCATTAATTAATTAATTAATGATAAAGGTTTCGCATCTCTAATCCAACGGCCAATTAATACCAAAGGAATATAACACGTGCCACATCATGAGAGCGAGTACAGAGCATTTTACTACCCGCTCGAGTAGATGTTTGAACCATACACAAAAGCATTTTGTTTTTCCCGCGAGCATTAATGAGCCTCCTCCTCAACTGTTACACACTTTAACGTACAGATGAGCCAGGGGGAGAGAGAGAGAGAGAGAGAGAGAGAGGAGGATGAGACGCCATTAATGGCGACCTCAACTACCTATCTAGTGGCGAGAGATTAATGAATGATTTTACACTGACAGGGAAGAGAGCAAAACCACATCCACATTTCTACACTACACACACACTCTCTCTCTGTTGTGTCTGCCGCAGAGATCCGGCGCTGAGGATGTGGAACGCGACGGAAAACGTGTTCTCGCGTTCAACGTCGTTCAAGGACGAGACCGAGGATGAGGAAGAGCTCCGATGGGCAGCGCTGCAGCGGCTGCCGACTTACGCTCGAGTCCGCCGGGGAATTTTCCGAGACTTGATCGGAGAGTCGAAGGAAGTCGAAATCGGCGATCTAGAAGCCAGTCAGAAGCGGCTTCTCCTCGACCGTCTCGTCAATTCCGTTGATCATGATCCTGAGCAGTTCTTCGCTCGCGTGAGGAAGAGATTCGACGCGTAATTTTTAAAAAAGTTTTCTTATACTCATGTTGAATCCTTGATTTGGGGATAAATTTCGAACTAAGTTTAGCTCTGATGGTTGAGAATTGATGTACATTTACATTCGGATCCAATCTAACCTTTCAGTGTGGTTTTCATCGTTTTTTGGGAATTTTCGCAGAGTTGATTTGAAATTCCCAAAGATTGAAGTTCGATTTCAGAACCTAAGAGTAGAATCGTTCGTTCATGTTGGAAGCAGGGCTTTACCAACAATTCCTAATTTCATCTTCAACATGACAGAAGTACTGAAACCCAGACTCGGTTCTCATTTTTGAATTTTTATTTTCCTTGTAAATTTGAGCATTTTTGGCAATCTAAGAGTATCTTTTTTCAAGGCTTTGTTAAGGAAACTGAGGTTGTTACGTGGAAAACGGAGCAAATTGACGATCTTAGACAATGTCAGTGGAATTGTTAGACCTTCAAGGTATACATCTGATTCTGATCCAGTTCAAAGCAGTCATGTAATTCATAGTTTAATTTCTGTGTTTGAATGATTTCCGTGTAAGTGTTGTGTAGATTGACGCTTCTACTGGGTCCTCCAAGTTCTGGAAAGACAACATTACTCTTAGCTTTAGCCGGACGTCTCGGGAGTAATCTTGAGGTACTGAAATATCTTACAGACTGGTAATGTTATACGCATGCAACACATACTCGTCCATTTGCTTGGTCTGACCATCAGAATCATAGCTAAAGGTCATAGCTGATGCCGAAACTTTCCAACATACTTGTTGGTTTTGCTGATTGGATTGAGATTTTTTCCTTCTTTTTACATGTTCTTTGATTCCCCTGAAGACGTCAGGGACAATTACATACAACGGATACAAATTGAACGAGATAGTGGCCCCCAGGACGTCTGCCTATGTCAGCCAACAAGACTGGCATGTTGCAGAGATGACAGTTCGGCAGACACTTGAGTTTGCTGGTCGCTGTCAAGGTGTCGGATTTAAATATGGTAAGTTTTTTACGCTTTGTTAGTGCAGTATTCCCTTGTTTCGCTTGTTTTTTTTAAAAAAAATAATATTTTCACTCTTAAAACAGATATGCTCTTGGAGCTTGCAAGGAGAGAAAAGTTGGCAGGGTTAAAACCTGACGAGGATCTTGATATATTTATGAAGGTACTTGTATTCTAAATGATGGTATTCTACTTCTCCTCCTCGCTCAATCATGTCCTAACAATTTTCCAAACCTTTTCTCCAGTCATCAGCACTTGGAGGACAGGAGACAAGCCTTGTCGTGGAATATATCATGAAGGTACTTCCCAAAGCCTCTTATGTGTAGATCAAAGTTCAAATGAGGGCATAAGTTTTTACAAATGCTGAAACTAATACGACATTGGATTTAATAAAAATGATTCCTTTCAATTGTTGCTAAATCTGTTTCAGAAAACTGAATAAGGATGATTTATATTCATTGCATGTGTACTCGTAAGGAATTTACCGTATCTTATAACATGAAGCAGTTTAAATACAAGTATATCAGGTTCTTGTGAACCTATTTCCTCAAATTTTCCTGAAGTTCTCATACATCCAACAAAGATTTTAGGGTTGGACACATGTGCTGACACATTGGTGGGAGATGAGATGATTAAAGGAATTTCAGGGGGGCAAAAGAAACGTCTCACAACAGGTCAGTGCCTTTTCTCGCCTCCATTTTACGAGCACATGTCGGTACCCTGACTAATGCCTAAATCGGTGCACTGAGTTTCCAGGGGAACTACTAGTTGGTCCCGCAAGAGTCCTTTTCATGGATGAAATATCGAACGGTCTGGATAGTTCAACCACTCATCAAATTATCAAGTATCTAAAACATTCAACTCATGCACTTGAAGGAACAACTGTGATTTCTCTACTCCAACCTGCTCCTGAGACTTATGAGTTATTCGACGACATTATTCTTATGTCTGAGGGGCAGATTATATACCAGGGCCCTCGTGAAGAGGTTCTTGGTTTCTTTTCATCCGTGGGGTTTAGTTGCCCTGAGAGGAAAAGTGTAGCAGATTTCTTACAAGAGGTAAGAATAAATCAGAGATCAAGTTGGTGCTTTTGGAACTTCAACTGAACCAATTTATATGTGCACAGGTTACCTCAAAAAAGGACCAACAACAATACTGGTCTGTTCCATTTAGGCCTTATCGCTATATACCTCCTGGAAAGTTTGCTGAAGTTTTTCGTTCATACCCAACTGGCAAGAATTTATCCAACAAACTCGCTGTTCCATTTGATAAACGGTACAATCATCCAGCAGCATTGTCAACGTCTCAATACGGTGTTAACAGGAGTGAACTTCTTAAGATCAACTTTTCATGGCAGAGGCAGCTTATGAAACAGAATTCATTTATTTATGTCTTCAAGTTTGTTCAGGTAGTGTACTCGATTATGCATCTTCAGTCCCTTAAATCTTTCTGCTTTGCTTTCGCAATATTCACTGCACAGTTCATGAATAAAGTGCCTCAAAGATTTTTTTTCTTTTAATTCAATCTCTCCACCTACTCATTTGCAGCTTCTTCTAGTTGCTTTGATCACAATGACTGTCTTTTGCCGGACAACAATTCATCACGACACCATCAATGATGGCAACATATATCTTGGGGCACTATACTTTTCCATGGTCATCATTCTCTTTAATGGGTTTACAGAGGTTCCAATGCTGGTAGCCAAGCTGCCTGTCCTCTATAAGCACAGGGACTTACATTTTTATCCAAGCTGGGCTTATACATTACCTTCCTGGTTATTGAGCGTTCCTACTTCAATAATAGAGTCCCTCACATGGGTTGGAGTTACATATTATGTTATAGGATATGATCCTCAGTTTACCAGGTACACACCCAAGGAAATATTGAATTTGGAATGGGTTTTTGATTGCCTGACAAAGTTAACAATTAAGTCCTCCGATCTGCAGGTTTCTTCAGCAGTTCTTGTTGTTTTTTTCTCTGCACCAGATGTCACTGGGTCTTTTCCGCGTGATAGGTTCTTTAGGCCGGCATATGATAGTTGCCAATACTTTCGGTTCTTTTGCAATGTTGGTAGTCATGGCTCTCGGAGGATTTATCATTTCCAGAGGTCATCATTGCTCTTCCTGGGTTTTCTTGACCTTTTTCCTTGTACATTTGTAATGGATCTCGTGTTTCGTTTAACAGATAGCATACCGACCTGGTGGATTTGGGGCTACTGGATTTCTCCATTGATGTATGCTCAAAATGCAGTAGCTGTGAACGAGTTCCTCGGTCATTCTTGGCAAAAGGTGAAGTGATTACTTAAGGACACTTCAGATATTGAGATAAATAGTGTATACTTGCTTATTACATTTCATGACTGCTTTTCTATTTGTTGTACATGTAGAAAGCTGGGAACAATTCTGATGAATCTCTAGGTTTGGCATTACTACGACAGCGAAGTTTGTTTCCTGAGAGCTACTGGTATTGGATCGGTGTTGGTGCCTTGCTTGGATATACAGTTCTTTTCAATTTGCTATTTACTCTGTTCCTGGCTTTTCTCAATCGTAAGCTCTCATTCTTTAAAGTGCACCTAAAATTTCGATTTTCTGACACGGTGTACCGTTCCTAATACTGTTTGTTATTTCTTAAAATATTCATAGCTTGGGGCAAGCTGCAAGCTGTTGTTACCAAAGAAGAGTTGGAAGAGAAGGAGAAGAAAAGGAAAGGCGATGACTTTGTTGTGGAATTGAGAGAGTACTTGCAGCACTCGGGCTCGCTAAACGGTGAATGAAGAATATGTTCTGCTCATTCTTCGATTTTCTGAACAGAAGAAGCTAACTTTTTCATTCTCTTGTTCAGGAAAATATTTCAAGAACAGAGGCATGGTTCTCCCATTTCAACCGCTCTCTTTGTCTTTCAGAAATATTAATTACTATGTGGAGGTTCCGTTGGTACGTACAGCTCTCCTTACTGTTGGCTAAACAACATGAAGACATTTATTGACCTGTCTTTCTGATCGAATGAAAATTTCAGGGATTGAAACAACAAGGGATAGTGGAAGATAAGTTGCAGCTTCTTATGAATATCACTGGAGCTTTTAGACCCGGTGTGCTAACAGCATTGGTGGGAGTTAGTGGTGCCGGAAAAACAACGCTCATGGATGTTTTAGCTGGTAGAAAAACCGGTGGGATCATTGAAGGTGATATATACATATCAGGTTATTCCAAGAAGCAGGAAACTTTCGCGAGAATTTCCGGTTATTGTGAGCAGAATGATGTTCATTCCCCTTGCCTAACTGTTCTAGAATCTCTTCTTTTCTCTGCGTGGCTCCGGTTACCTGTGGATGTTGACATAGAGACACAAAGGGTAATTTCGTTCAATAATCATATTTCTTGACTCGATTTCTAAACGAGGTTTTACTGAATTCTTCTTAATTCTATCGTTAAGGCATTTGTCCATGAGGTGATGGAGCTCGTTGAGCTGACCCCATTGAGTGGTGCGCTGGTGGGTCTACCTGGAGTTGACGGTCTGTCAACAGAACAGAGGAAAAGGTTAACGATCGCTGTCGAGCTCGTAGCCAACCCTTCAATAGTATTCATGGACGAACCAACTTCAGGATTGGACGCGAGGTCTGCAGCCATTGTCATGAGGACTGTGAGAAATATTGTTAACACTGGACGGACCATAGTTTGCACGATTCATCAGCCGAGCATCGACATCTTTGAATCCTTTGACGAGGTCTTTCTCCTCGAGCAATGATTCAGTTCTCAAACCCAACAATGTTTGGAATTTCCTTATGCATCATTCCTACTGTTCCTTTTTTATGCAGCTTTTGTTCATGAAACGTGGTGGGGAGCTTATATATGCTGGTCCGCTCGGCCAAAAATCCTGCGAGCTCGTAAAGTATTTCGAGGTAAATCTTGTTGCAGAAAGCCAAAATGCTAATTACTCCTCAGAAATGGATCCATGTTCATATAATTCTTGCATTTTTTGCTTAACAACGTGCAAATGTGTTTTCTTTTCATTTGCAACTCTGGCTGCTGAAATATTCGTTTTTATATTCTTCTCTTGCTTAGTCAATTGAAGGGGTGCCAAAGATCAAGCCTGGGCATAATCCCGCGGCATGGATGCTTGATGTCACTTCCTATACCGAGGAGCAACGGTTGGGGGTTAATTTCGCCGAAATTTACAAGAACTCGAGCTTGTTTCAGTACGTAACTTTCCAATTTTAATCGAAGTTTTGTATGCATTAACATCGAATCCAGAATATATATTTCTAACAGTAATCTGTTTACCTTGTTGGCATCTATCCTCATACCACAGTCGGAACAAGGAGTTGGTTGATTTCCTCAGCAAGCCAAGTAGCATTTCGAAAGAACTCGAGTTCCCTACAAGGTACTCTCGGCCTCTATTCAGCCAGTTCCTCGCATGCCTGTGGAAACAAAACCTATCATATTGGCGAAACCCTCAATACACCGCCGTTCGCTACTTCTACACCGTGGTTATCTCGCTGATGCTCGGAACAATATGTTGGAAATTTGGTTCCAAAAGGTACGACAAACAACGATGATCATACTCAATTGTTTTGAAATATCCTTTCTCATGCGTCCGCTTTTCCCGTTTCAGAGACACACAACAAGATTTATTCAACGCGATGGGATCCATGTACGCCGCCATCCTCTTCATCGGCATCACAAACGCATCGGCTGCTCAGCCCGTCGTTTCCATCGAAAGATTCGTTTCGTATCGCGAGAGAGCGGCCGGAATGTACTCCGCTCTACCCTTTGCATTTGCACAGGTCCATAATACCTCTCTGCCCTTTTCTTTCTCATTCATTCCTTCATACAATTCAACCATTAACACAACGATTTTTACAACCCACAAAACGCAGGTCTTCATAGAGTTCCCTTACGTTTTCGCACAATCCGCGATTTACTCGACAATCTTCTACGCCATGGCTTCGTTCGAATGGAACGCCATCAAGTTCCTCTGGTATTTATACTTCATGTACTTCACGGTAATGTACTTCACCTTCTACGGGATGATGACTACAGCCGTAACGCCAAACCACAACGTTGCATCCATCATTGCTGCACCGTTCTATATGCTTTGGAACCTCTTCAGTGGCTTCATGATCCCGTACAAGGTAACCCCATAGATCCATTTTTTCAGTTCATCTTGATACAACACTTTTGGGCACAGTCGAATACCTGAATTTTTCGCTGTACCTGACCTCGGTCTCACTTCCTTGGGGTTTCTCGGCCGGATTATCCGACCGAGGCTTCTATAAGAGTCCAGACCCGAGTTTCGGGTACCCGCCGAGCACCTGGCTGGCGAGGTGGCAAGTTGAGGGGGCAAGGCATGTCCGATGTGACGAGGGCAAACCGAAACCCTACATTGTTAGTCTCTTTCGCCCTCCGAACTGTCTTAAACTTTAAAAAAAATCAATAAAATTCCTAATCTTTATTTTAAAACAAAACCCTAATCGTCCTCAGCCCGATGCCACCTCTCTAGTTCAGCCCTCTCCCTCTCTGGTCCGATAGCCGCAGGGCACTGGTACTCGTCGGTCAAAACCTGAATTGAAACCCCAATGTCGGGTTCTCACCGGCAACGGACCCATATTTGTCTCACCGGTGGATGAATATCCAAGATTTGGGTATCCAATTCACAGGTCGGGTCGGGCTGACACCCGCCATTTCGGAAGCCCACCTATTATCAAAATGACAACACGATCACACGCACTTGCACAGAACTTTCACAGAGCCATCTTTTTTCGCATTCACCGATTACATTTTCGTTCGCACAAAAACGTGACCCGATCCAATTACTTCCATAAACAGAGGATCCCGATATGGTGGAGATGGTACTACTGGGCAAACCCAGTAGCCTGGACACTGTACGGACTCTTGGTCTCACAGTACGGTGATGATGAAAGACAAGTGAAGTTACTCGATGGGATCCATCGCGTTTCGACCAAACAACTTCTCCACGACTTGATGGGTTACCGACATGATTTCTTGGGCATCTCCGCTATTATGGTCGTCGGATTCTGCGTTTTCTTCGCCTTCATCTTCGCTTTCGCCATTAAAGCCTTCAATTTCCAGAGGAGATGACCAAAAAAACCCCGGTAGTTCTTCTTCTCAAGAGCTTGAAACTTGAAGCTTCCTTCATTCGTTGTTCTTACAAGCATAAGAAAGCATTGCATATGATCTGTAATCTTATTACATTTATAATGTATATTGTCTCCAACATGATTCCATTATTATCACAAGAGTATTGGTTCAAGGACAATGATGTAACAATAAGAACTTAATTATTTCTTTTCACCTTTTTTGTTGTCACTGTTTTTGCTCTCCTGCATGTGATATTCGTTTACACTTATAATGTACGATTGTAATTAATTTTAAAAGGTCAACGAAACCATTTAAAATATTGTTAGCATTTAAGATTTGTTATTGTTTTATTAATACCATGACACTTTTTACCTTAATTTTTCCATGTAAATTTAATTAAAAAAATTATCATGATCTTTTGAACTCATTTTAAAATACAATTATTGGATATAAGTATGATTATTTATATTAAGTTTGATATTATATTTAATAAATTAAATTTAAAATTTGTATTTTTAGCTATAGTTTTGATATACATTTTTTGTAAAATATAAAATTTTTAGGAATTAAATTGCTGCCCCATTTTTGTGGGAGGGGGGGTCAAGTTCATTGCCTTGAAAATAACGACCCAAACGGAAACCAAAACCAGAAGTATGTTTAGCCTCTCGACTTCCCCTTCTTCTGTTCTAATGTATTCACCAGTCTATTAAAACCTCGAAAATATTAAACATATACATACAAAGATAAGGGTGTATATATGTGTGTGTATATGTTACATGCAAGTATACATATTTATACGTATATTTAATTTATGTATATGTGAGTACATAAGCTTGTAAATGTATGTACGTATGTATTATACATAAATATCTGTACATGATTGTATATATTTTTTTTAAATACAAAGGAAAATTGAAAAAAAAAACTTATTGATGTGTCACTAATGACATCCTGCTATTTTTTTAAAATTTAATCACGCCAATTACGACTATAAAACTCGATATTCCATTAATATCGTTAAAGTAATACATCAATCTATTAAGATTTTGAAAAATAGATTTGTTCTATTTGAAAATTTAGTGTAATATTTGTGCTATTTTAGAAAAATAAAAATACATGTATTATGGTGATAAAACTAATGACGCGTAAGGTTTTTATGAGATTTTCTTCCAAATGAAAAAAAATTAGTTAATTAGGAGAGAGATTGAATTCTAGAAGGTCAGTTGAATAAACATTTCCAAAATAAGTTAGTTTAATTACGATTTTACCCTTTAAAAAACGTTGTATTTCAATACGCCTGTAGGGAATTGAAAGATGCCAAGAACTTCTTAGTTAGTTAGTGGAAACCTAACAGAAATATTGAAAGATGTGGAAGATATATAGATTTATGTGTGTGTGTTTTTCCTTTCTCGATCATTTCACCTTCCCTCTCCTTCACTGTCTTCTCTCATCTCCGTGACCGTGAAATTTCATCGCAGCCGTGTTTTCTCTCTCCTCCGCGAATCTTCCCATATCTTCCGAAACAACTCTATTTTTTAAAAATTTTCTCGGAATTAATTTAGTTTTAGCAAAAGTATACCTTATATTGAAAGCTTCGCGGAACCATCTTCTTCTTCCTCTTCTTCTTCTTTTTTTGTGCATAGAGTCATCTTCTTTGGACGTTGATTTTTTTTTTTTGTAGATTTATTACAAAAAAAATTTCTGCGAATATTCAAAACCTGTGAATTATTTTTAAAAATAAAATAAAAGATAAAACAGGAAAATTATGATGATGAATACTAGTAAAGGGAATGTTCAGTCTGCCTATAAGATTCCGAGTGACATCGGAGGCGTTTCGTCGCTGACGTTGGCAACTCCTCCTCGTGTCTCCGTTCCCTTTCCGATCACCGGAAAATCATCGCCGATGAGTCGTATCCGCCTGCGAAGGACGTCTTCCGACTACCTCAGGCACGTCGAGTCCGTGTCGGAGATCTCCTCCGATGCCGGCAAGATCTCCCATTCGAACGCTGTTGTTTTAGGCGAATCTCTTGCTTCTGAGGAGAATGATCTCGTCTTCCCCAGCGAGGATTTCTCCCGCCAAGCTCTCGTTCCCTCTCCCCAAAAGGTTCTCTCTCTCTCTCTCTCTCTTCTGTATTTGTTTCTTCAATCTAGGTGACGGCATAGATAACAAATACTGTCTGGTATTGTTTTTTCAATTCTCTGTTTGTATGAGTTCAGTACTCGGAGATGTATAGAAGATCGGTCGATGATCCGGCTGGGTTCTGGGCTGATATTGCATCTGAGTTTTACTGGAAGCAGAAATGGGGTGATCGAGTTTTGTCTGAAAATCTGGATGTCAGGAAAGGCCCTATCCACATTGAGGTCTGCAATCTTTTTCCGCTCTGTTTGTTTTGTTGTTTTCCTTAAAACGTTCCTTATGACAATGCCTGAGATATAATATCATGTCCAAACCAGTGGTTCAAGGGAGGAATCACCAACATTTGCTACAATTGCTTGGACGAAACCGTTGAGGCTGGTCTTGGTGATAAAACCGCCATTTACTGGGAAGGCAATGATCCCGGTTTCGATTCCTCCTTGACTTATTCTGAGTTGCTTCACAGAGTTTGCCAGGTATCAATGGCGATTCCACCATATCTACCTCCCTCTCCAAGCACACTTCATCACACTTTCATTCCCTTAATTTCGCCTTTCGTGGGTCTTATCGGTGTTACAGCTTGCTAACTACTTGAGAGATATCGGAGTGAAGAAGGGGGATGCAGTTATCATTTACTTACCGATGTTGATGGAACTTCCCATTGCTATGCTTGCATGTGCACGGATAGGAGCAGTTCATTCGGTATATCCCACAATGCCATTTTACCCGTCTCTATTCAAATCTTTTACATAGTTCATTTGTATTCACGATCCATTCATTGTCTTAAATTCTTTTCATTCTGGTCTAGGTTGTTTTTGCTGGGTTTTCTGCTGATTCTCTTGCCCAAAGGATCTTGGACTGTAAGCCGAAAGCAGTATTGACTTGCAATGCTGTTAAAAGAGGTCCTAAACTCATTCTCCTTAAGGATATTGTTGATGCTGCTCTTGACCAGTCCTCCAAAAATGGAGTCTCTGTAGGTTAGTTATGTACTTTTTCTCAAGTTTTTTATATGATTTCTTCCTTGCATAGCTGCCGTTTGCTGTTCCCGTTTGCTTGTTTTTCTTTCATTGCTTGTCGGGTCGATCTCTTCATTAACTTATATAATGATTTATGGCTGTTTTGTCTTTCCTTCTGTTCTGTACAAGCAGGTGTATGCTTGACCTATGACAACTCATCAGCCTTGACAAGAGAAAACACTAAATGGCAGAATGGAAGAGATGTGTGGTGGCAGGTGAGTTTGAAAGTCAGTGTATACTCGGTGAAAATGAAATGCATCTTTTTTTTTAAAGAAAAATTCGAACCGTGCATTGAGATTTTGTTTTGTCGGTCTGTGGTTATATTGTTTCCAGGACGTTGTCCCGAAATATGAAACATCCTGCGAGGTGGAATGGGTTGATGCGGAAGATCCCCTGTTCTTGCTCTACACCAGTGGGAGTACAGGGAAGCCAAAGGTACTTACTTTCGGTCCTTTGTTAGATCGAACTCTTGGTTATGTTCTGTCTCTAATATGAGTTCTTGAAAGGGCGTTCTCCACACAACCGGGGGATATATGGTCTACACTGCTACGACATTCAAATATGCATTTGACTACAAACCATCAGATGTCTACTGGTGCTGATAGAGACCCATGTCCAATTTTTAGCCCTAAACCCCGAAGAATTTTGGTTACTCACTCAACGGTGAATTGTTTTTCCTCTGTAATTTAGGTGTACAGCTGATTGCGGTTGGATAACTGGCCACAGCTATGTTACTTACGGTCCGATGCTCAGTGGAGCCACCGTTGTTGTCTTCGAAGGGGTAACCCATTTCCATATTTAAACTGTTTGACATTTTCTCAACTTCAGTCTGTCATTGAACTCTTAGAGAAGATGATATAAGATGATATAGTTTGTAACATTTTAGATAATAATCCATGGGATTTAACCTCTTCGATACGTATGAAAACCTAGGAGAAAGTCGGTATCTGTATTCAAATGAGTTATGCTGTCTCTTTTTAATCTGGATTAAAGTAAAGCATTGATTATGACATTACCCTCCTCATTTATATATAAACAGGCTCCGAACTATCCCGATCCCGGGCGCTCATGGGAAATTATCGACAAATACAAGGTTTCCATATTTTACACTGCCCCAACATTGGTGCGGTCTCTTATGCGAGACGGTGATGAGGCAAGTGGTGATTATATTTTAACTGTATCAATGATTCTACATGTAACTTGTGGCTGTAAAATGCCACAAGAAATGATTATCTGTGTTTTTGTGGCGTAACTGACGCTTTAACTGGAAAAAAAAAAAACAGTTACACTCTGGTTTTTTTATTGTTTTGTTATGATTATTGCAGTATGTAAAACGTCATTCTCGGAAATCGTTGCGGATACTTGGAAGCGCAGGCGAGCCGATCAATCCCAGTGCCTGGAGGTTTGCAACTCTTATCATCTTTTGTACATATGATGGGAGTTGAAAGGGAAACTCTTTAACGCATTTCAGTTTCTTCGGTATAGATGGTTCTTTAATGTAGTCGGTGATTCGAGGTGTCCTATATCGGATACCTGGTGGCAAACTGAAACCGGCGGCTTCATGGTATCTCTCTCCCTATCTCTCGCCCTTCTCCTCTCTTGTTCATACGCCATGTTTCGTGGCAGATAACTCCATTACCAGGCGCATGGCCACAGAAGCCTGGCTCTGCAACTTTTCCGTTCTTCGGAGTCCAGGTTAGTGCAGATGTAATCCGCTTGCTTCTTATGGCTGTCACTTATCAGGTTACCCTCAAAACCCTCGTTTTCGTCTCCCGAGGCAGCTGGCCATAGTTGACGAGATGGGCAATGAAATCGAGGGTGAGTGTAGTGGTTACCTATGCGTGAAAAGCTCATGGCCCGGGGCATTTAGGACTCTTTATGGCGACCACGAAAGATACGAGATGACGTACTTCAAACCCTTTGCTGGATATTATTTCACCGGTGATGGCTGCAGCAGGTCAGTAGCCGTTTTCACCTTTGATTTCAATGAATTTATCTATCGATGAGATTAAACGGCTGCTTACATGGGCGATCGTTAATGGTTGCGTTCCAGAGATAAGGATGGTTACTACTGGCTTACGGGAAGGGTGGACGATGATATTAACGTCAGGTACAGTTTAATGTTAAATCGATCATTAAATTTCCCCTATAAATACTCGAAAACTAATGAAAATGGTGGATTTTTGGTAATTCTTCAGTGGCCACCGGATTGGAACTGCAGAAGTGGAGTCTGCTCTTGTATCACATCCCCAATGTGCAGAAGCTGCCGTTGTCGGCATCGATCACGAGGTACGAGGACGATTAACTATAAATGTTGCGAATTCCCGGATCAAGATTTTTGTCGTTCCGATGTTGTAAAATAGAAAAAGGCGGAGCCGACTGTTATGTTTTCTCGCTCGCACACAGGTGAAAGGTCAAGGCATATACGCGTTTGTCACTCCGGTGGATGGCGCTGAGTACAGCGAAGAACTCCGGAAAAGCCTTATAATCACTGTCCGGAATCAGGTTCAACCCCTCTTTAGCTTACTCTCATAAACCGACGGATTTGAGATATTGAAAACTTGACTCCATATACGATAAGTTCTCGAATATATACGTGTTGAAACGTCAACATATCGAGAACGAAGAACTTTGATAACGATTTTACCGTTCAGATCGGGGCGTTTGCGGCGCCGGACAAGATTCACTGGGCGCCGGAACTTCCAAAGACGAGAAGCGGAAAGATTATGCGTAGAATCCTCAGAAAAATCGCGTCGAGGCAACTCGATGAGCTCGGAGACAACAGCACACTCGCAGACCCCGGGGTAGTCGATCAACTTATCGCTCTCGCCGATGTTTGAATCATTTTCCCGGCATTGCACCAAATCATATTGCCATTGTTCATACGCTTTCTTCTGAGCTGGAGGCGGCCTCAAAGGATACTACTTACATATAACTAGTGACGTGGTGGTTGGGATACTAATATAAGCGTGGGAGGAACATGGTTTTAGTTTGGCCACTTTTGTTGTGTTTCAGTTTGTCATGGCTTCTTCATTAGTAAATGCTACCTATTCAATGTTTTAGTTTTTTTTTTTAAAAAATTTTAAACCTTTTCATTCTTATATAAAGAGTGATCTAGATAAGTTTTATGTTTTGATAGATTAAAGGGAGGGGGGAATCGAAACACAGTCATATTCATTTACGCAATAAGACAATAATATTCATTTTCCCTTTTTATTTATCCTCTTTTCTTAGATCGGTTTATTAAATTAGAAAACCGAATTTATTTATTTTCAACCCGAATTAAATTTCGACCCAAAATATGCTAATATGGCAAAAATCATTTTAAATTGGTTACGTGGACACGTTGATGTAAGCTTTCCGGACCTATGTGGATTTTCGATGGCCTGATATTGGTCAAATCGGTCAACGCGTTATTAGAACAACAATTTGTAAGTTCGAGGTTTTATGATGATAAAACTAATGACGCAAAAAGGTTTTATGAGATTTTTTTCAAAATAAAAAAATAGTTAATTAGGAGAGAGATTGAATTTTAAATATCAGTTGAAGTTCCGGTTAGAAAATTAAAGAATATAAAAATGGAAATAAAAAACGGGGAAATAGTAGACATAGATTTACTTGAAAATGAGTCATTACAAATAACTTGGATACGTTACAAATATCGAAAAATATGATGCAAAACCGAAATGAATGAAAAAAAATTCATGCGTCCGACCCCAAATAAATTTGGGATTAAGGTCATGTTGTTGGTAGTTGAATAAACATTTCCAAAATAAATTAGTTTAATCACGATTTTATTTTATCCTTTAAAAACGTTGTATTTGAATACGCCTCTAAGGAATATGGTATTAGGAAACAGGAGAAGTCTCGTGAGTCGTGACAAATATGGAGGACATATCATGTTGCAAAAATCTGTGTTCGGCCTACTGATTTCTTATTGACGCAATAAATAATACAAGCATAAATAAAATAAATAAATCAATAAACAAGTAACTCAATAAAATAAATAAATAAGTAGATAACAAGAAGTAGAGGTGGTATTTCGGTTCGGTTTCGAAAAATCGAACCGTACTAAATTGAAAAAATACGGTATTCTTTTCTATGCGAGCTGTCCAAAATTCGATTGTTAGAAAATTGATTTTTTTTCGGAATTGAACCGAACTCTTTAAAAAACTCGAAAAATTGAATTTTTTTTTAAAAGATCTATTTTTTGAAAAGAACAGAATCGAACACAATCGAAACCTAATATAATATAATAAATAATTAGTATATATTTTTATAAAATTGAAAAAAGTAAATCGAAGTATTCCTGACCCAAATCCGAATAATAAAACGCTCAACCTAACAGAAACTAGGGGTGGTTTAATCGAATTTCGGTTCGGATTTGGTTCGGTTATTTTCGGATTCGGTTATTTCGGTTTTATAACAACTACAACCATTCGGTTTTTGCATTAAATTTGCTTCGGTTCGGTTATACTCGGTTCGGTTATGATAAAAATATTCATTTTAAATAAAATTTATAGTTTTTCGGATACTTTTTATTCGGTTCGGTTCGGTTCGAGTTTGGGTTCGATTTTTTCGGTTTTAGAGAAATCATAACCATTCGGTTTTACATTTAATTCGATTCGGTTACGATTATACGTTATTTAGTTCGGATCGGTTCGGTTATTCGATTATTAACCAAATAAACCAGCCCTAACAGAAATCAACAATTCAATCCCATTATTATTATTATTATTATTATACAATAAGGAGACGAATCTGTGTGTAAATTCGCTTGTGGTTGAATAAATTAAGTTTTAGGTATTTTATGATATTTTAAAAATAAGATAATAAAAAGAAAGGTGTAAAAACAGTAAACAACCAACTTTATTCAAAATATCAAAACAAACCAATCAACTTAAAGTTTCGTAAAAATATAAAATTATTCTTAGTTAATAACATGTGTATATATATAGTTATTATTATTTTTCCGGTTTGACTGTTCGAACATATCTCTAGGGAAGATAATAATATGTAATTTTCCAACAAATATGGTATCAGGTTCATGTTTCTAGTTTTTTTTCGATTAAATTGGGTTTTCTTGATTGTTTCCAAAATTCTGGGGTGGAACTGAGAATATATAACGATTTAAATTTAGAAATTTATCCTAAGCACTGGAAATAAGCAATAGTTTGAGGACCTAACAGAAATATTGAAAGATGTGGAAGATATATAGATTTATGTGTGTGTGTTTTTCCTTTCTCGATCATTTCACCTTCCCTCTCTTTCACTGTCTTCTCTCATCTCCGTGACCGTGAAATTTTCATCGCAGCCGTATTTTCTCTCTCCTTCTCCTCCTCCGCCGCATTTCGTCGCCGGAAAATCCGCCGTGAATCTTCCGATATCTTCCGAGACAACTCTATTTTTTTTAAATTTTCAAGGAATTAATTTAGTTTTAGCAAAAGTATACCTTATATTGAAAGCTTCGTGGAACCATCTTCCTCTTCTTCTTCGTCTTCGTCTTCTTTTTTTTTTTTTTTTTTTTTTTTTTTTGCATAGAGTCATCTTCTTTGAACGTTGAATATTCAAAACCTGTGAATTATTTTAAAAATAAAATAAAAGATAAAAAAGGAAAATTGCGATGATGGTGAATAGTAGTACAGGGAATGTTCAGTCTGCCTATAAGATTCCGAGTGACATCGGAGGCGTTTCGTCGCTGACGTTGGCAACTCCTCCTCGTGTCTCCGCTCGCTTTCCGATCACCGGAAAATCATCGCCGATGAGTCGTGTCCGCCTGCGAAGGATGTCTTCCGACTACCTCAGGCACGTCGAATCCATGTCAGAGATCCCCTCCGGTGCCGGCAAGATCTCCCATTTGAACGCTGTTGTTTTGGGCGAATCTCTTGCTTCTGAGGAGAATGATCTCGTCTTCCCCAGCGAGGATTTCTCCCGCCAAGCTCTCGTTCCCTCTCCCCAAAAGGTTCTCTCTCTCTCTCTCTCTCTTCTGTATTTGTTTCTTCAATCTAGGTGATGGCACAGATAACAGATGCTGTCTGGTATTGTTTCTTCAATTCTCTGGTTGTGGCTATTGTTGAGTTCAGTACTCGGAGATGTATAGAAGATCGGTCGAAGATCCGGCTGGGTTCTGGGCTGATATTGCATCTGAGTTTTACTGGAAGCAGAAATGGGGTGATCGAGTTTTGTCTGAAAATCTGGATGTCAGGAAAGGCCCTATCCACATTGAGGTCTGCAATCTTCTTCCGCTCTGTTTGTTTTGTTGTTTTCCTTAAAACGTTCCTTATGACAATGCCTGAGATATAATATCATGTCCAAACCAGTGGTTCAAGGGAGGAATCACCAACATTTGCTATAATTGCTTGGACAGAAACGTTGAAGCTGGTCTTGGTGATAAAACCGCCATTTACTGGGAAGGCAATGATCCCGGTTTCGATTCCTCCTTGACTTACTCTGAGTTGCTTCACAGAGTTTGCCAGGTATCAATGGCGATTCCACCATATCCTCCTTCCTCTCCAAGCACCCTTCATCACACTTTCATTCCCTTAATTTCGCTCTTCGTGGGTCTTATCGGCGTTACAGCTTGCTAACTACTTGAGAGATATCGGAGTGAAGAAGGGGGATGCAGTTGTCATTTACTTACCGATGTTGATGGAACTTCCCATTGCTATGCTTGCCTGTGCACGGATAGGAGCCGTTCATTCGGTATATCCCACAATGCAATTTTACCTGTCTCTATTCGAATCTTTTACATAGTTCATGCGTATTCACGATCCATTGATCATCTTAAATTCTATTCATTCTCGTCTAGGTTGTTTTTGCTGGGTTTTCTGCTGATTCTCTTGCCCAAAGAATCTTGGACTGTAAGGCGAAAGCAGTATTGACTTGCAATGCTGTTAAAAGAGGTCCTAAACTCATTCTCCTTAAGGACATTGTTGATGCTGCTCTTGACCAGTCCTCCAAGAATGGTGTCTCTGTAGGTGAGTTATGTACCTTTTCTCAAGTTTTTTCTACGACTTCTTCCTTGTGTAGCTGTCGTTTTTTGTTCTCGTTTGCTTGTTCTTTGTTCATTGTTTGTCGGGTCGATCTCTTCATTAACTTATATAATGATCTGTGGCTGTTTTGTCTTTCCTTCTGTTCTCTACAAGCAGATGTATGCTTGACCTTTGACAACTCATCAGCCTTGACAAGAGAAAACACTAAATGGAAAAATGGAAGAGATGTGTGGTGGAAGGTGAGTTTGAAAGTCATTGTATACTCGGTGAAAATGAAATGCATCTTTATTTAAAAAAAAATTGTCGAACCGTGCTTTGAGATCTTGTTTGGTCGGTCTGTGGTTATATTCTTTCCAGGACGTTGTCCCGAAATATGAAACAGCCTGCGAGGTGGAATGGGTTGACGCGGAAGATCCCCTGTTCTTGCTCTACACCAGTGGGAGTACAGGGAAGCCAAAGGTACTTACTTTCGGTCCTTTGTTAGATCGAACTCTTGGTTATGTTCTGTCTCTAATATGAGTTCTTGAAAGGGCGTTCTCCACACAACCGGGGGATATATGGTCTACACTGCTACGACATTCAAATATGCATTTGACTACAAACCATCAGATGTCTACTGGTGCTGATAGAGACCCATGTCCAATTTTTAGCCCTAAACCCCGAAGAATTTTGGTTACTCACTCAACGGTGAATTGTTTTTTCCTCTGTAATTTAGGTGTACAGCTGATTGCGGTTGGATAACTGGCCACAGCTATGTTACTTACGGCCCGATGCTCAATGGAGCCACCGTTGTTGTCTTCGAAGGGGTAACCCATTTCGATATTTAAACTGTTTGACATTTTCTCAACTTCAATCTGTCATTGAACTCTTAGAAAAGATGATATAAGATGATATAGTTTGTAACATTTTAGATAATAATCCATGCTTATGCTAGTAACTCTTATCGGGATTTAACCTCTTCGATACGTATGAAAACCTAGGAGAAAGTCGGTATCTGTATTCAAATGATTTCTGCTGCCTCTTTTTTATCTGGATTAAAGTAAAGTATTGATTATGACATTACCCTCCTCATTTATAAACAGGCTCCGAACTATCCCGATCCCGGGCGCTCTTGGGAAATCGTTGACAAATACAAGGTTTCCATATTTTACACTGCCCCAACATTGGTGCGGTCTCTTATGCGCGACGGGGATAAGGCAAGTGGTGATTATATTTTAACTGTATCGATGATTTTACATGTAACATGCCACAAGAAATGATTATCTGTGTTTTTGTGGTGTAACCGATGCTTTAACAAAAAAAACAATTATGCTCGGGTTTTTTTTATTGTTTTGTTATGATTATTGCAGTACGTAAAAAGTCATTCTCGGAAATCGTTACGGATACTTGGAAGCGTAGGCGAGCCGATCAATCCCAGTGCCTGGAGGTTTGCAGCTCTTATCATCTTTTGTGCATATGATAGGAGTTGAAAGGGAAACTCTTTAACGCATTTCAGTTTCTTCGGTATAGATGGTTCTTTAATGCAGTCGGTGATTCGAGGTGTCCTATATCGGATACCTGGTGGCAAACTGAAACCGGCGGCTTCATGGTCTCTCTCTTTCTCTCTCTCTCTTCCTCTCTCTCGACGTTCGCCTCTCTTGTTCATGTGCCATGTTTCGTGGCAGATAACTCCATTACCAGGTGCATGGCCGCAGAAGCCTGGCTCTGCAACTTTTCCGTTCTTCGGAGTCCAGGTTAGTGCAGATATAATCTGATTTCTTCTTCTGGCTTTCACTTATCGGGTTACCCTCACAACCCTCGTTTTTGTCTCCCGAGGCAGCCGGCCATAGTTGACGAGAAGGGCAATGAAATCGAGGGCGAGTGTAGCGGTTACCTATGCATGAAAAGCTCGTGGCCCGGGGCATTTCGGACTCTTTATGGCGACCACGAAAGATACGAGACTACGTACTTCAAACCCATTGCTGGATATTATTTCAGCGGCGATGGCTGCAGCAGGTCAGTAGCCGTTTTCACCTTTGTTTCGAAGAATTTATCTGTCGATGAGATTAAATGGCCGCTAAATTTACACGAGCGATCGTTAATTTTTGCGTTCCAGAGATAAGGATGGTTACTACTGGCTTACAGGAAGGGTGGACGATGTTATTAACGTCAGGTACAATTTAACGTTAAATCGAACATTAAAATTCTCCCATAACTACTCGAAAACTAATGAAAATGGTGGATTTTTGGTAATTTTTCAGTGGCCACCGGATTGGAACTGCAGAAGTGGAGTCTGCTCTTGTATCACATCCCCAATGTGCAGAAGCTGCCGTTGTCGGCGTCGATCACGAGGTACGAGGAAGATTAACTATAAATGTTGCGAATCCCCAGATCAAGAATTTTTATCGTTCCGATGTTGTAACATAGAAAAAGGCGGAGCCGACTGTTACGTTTTCTCGCTCGCACACAGGTGAAAGGTCAAGGCATATACGCGTTTGTCACTCTGGCGGATGGCGCTGAGTACAGCGAAGAACTCCGGAAAATTCTTATACTCACTGTCCGGAATCAGGTTCGACCCCTCTTTACCTTTACTCTCATAAACCGACTGATTTAAGAATCGAAAACTCGACTCCATATACGATAAGTTCTCGAATATATACGTGTTGAAGCGACAACGGATCGAGAATGAAGAACTTTGATAACGATTTTACCGTTCAGATCGGGGCGTTTGCGGCGCCGGACAAGATTCACTGGGCGCCGGGACTTCCAAAGACGAGAAGCGGAAAGATTATGCGTAGAATCCTCAGAAAAATTGCGTCGAGGCAACTAGATGAGCTCGGAGACAACAGCACACTCGCAGACCCCGGGGTAGTCGATCAACTTATCGCTCTCACCGATGTTTGAATCATTTTCCCGGCATTGCACCAAATCATATTGCCATTGTTCATACGCTTTCTTCTGAGCTGGAGGCGGCCTCAAAGGGCAAAATTCTTCGTGGTGGTTCGGATACTAATATAAAGCCTGGGAGGAACATGGTTTTAGTTTGGCCGCTTTTGTTGTGTTTCAGTTTGTCAAGGCTTCTTCATTAGTAAAATGCTACCTATTCTATGTTTTATTTTAAAAAAAAAAAAAAAAACCTTTTCATTCTTATATAATATTAATTGAATATCGAGTACTTTAAATATTTATATTAACTAACTAAGGACAAACGCAAAACAAATCTTAAATTTGACAGCTTATTAAAATTAAATTTCATAAAACTTTTTATTTAAATACCTCAACTATAAAACCTAAGTAAAAAACAAGACAAAAACACCTAGAAAACAAATGTTAAATACCCATATCAGCTTATTATTTTTCTATTTATGTTATATATAATATATATAACTACATATCTCTTTCTACCGTATTTTCCATTTATTTTTATTTTTTCATTTATTTAATTTCAAAACTGTAAAGACCAACAAACCTTCTTTTGCAATTGAAACAAAAAAATTAAATTTTACTTTTATTGTGTGTCCCTCTTAGATTATATTCTTGAAAACCACTTTTTTCTATTATAATATTACACTTTTCTTATCAACTTTTGTATTGTTTTGGAGAATTTTTAACCCTAAATATGTTTTCATATAATTTTATAGGTGTATATTTTTGTTATTAGGTACTCTTTATATGCGGTTTTATTATGGTATTTATGTTTCTATATAATCAATTTTGTGTGCATAATTCTAACATAATTCAATTGGGCGATAAAAAAACTAAAAAAAATCACAAATTTCAATTGTTAATACAAATAACTAAAATATAGGTTGAATCATAAACTAGGAGTGTCAATAGGGTCGGACCGGTCCGAACCCACATTTGTTCTGAAGGTTTCGGATTTGGGCCTATATAGTTAAGTCCGAAGCCCGACCCTATATATTTTGGGATCGGGTCCGGTCGGATTGGTCCACATTATTTCCTTTCTAAATCTTTATTTCTTTTTGTTTTTAATATCGGATTTTCAGACCGATCCAATTCGAGCCTGATCTCAAAGCTCAATTTCTTTCGGCCTGAGAAACTTAGGCCCGAAATACACTAATTCTCGGATTGAACCAGACCAAACTTCGCATCTTTGACCTAAATTGACACCCTACATAACATCAACATTGATATGTATTAATAAAGATTTAATTACTTAATTAATAATTTTCCTTGAAGTTGCGGTAGAAGAAGACATTGTGTAATTTGCAATAAAAAAATATAATATATAACATAAATAGAAAATGTTAATGATGAGTTATAAACGTCCGTTTGTTTTTTGTTTATATCTTTTTTTTACCTAGTAAGATAGTTGAGGTATTTAAAAAAAAAGCATTTAATTTAGTTTTAGTAAGTTGTAAAGTTTATAATTTTTTTTCCTATTAAATAAGATATTATAGAATTGTATTTTCTATCAATAAATATTATCATTTGTTGAATAATGAGAAATTGAACAATTCTCCTCACATTTTTCTATTATGCTATCGCAATCTATACGACTAGCATTTATTTCTAAATCCGACTTTTGATCGACACATTTGTGTCATTATTTTTTTTTTGCTTTTTTTTTTATATACTATGAGGTGTTTTGAACGGCGTTCAACTATGAATTGACACTTTTAAGACTAATGCTCATTTGTCCCTAGATCAACGCACTAAACGGTAAAAGACTGCCATAAAAGGTTGCTTCATTCTCAAAGCAGGATTCGAACCCTTGACTTCTAATTAAGGGACAAAGATCCTAAACCATCTACGTGTTAACCCTTCAGTGTCAAGCACTGATCGACTCACGTCGATCGTCGACTTGCATCGTTTTTTGTAGAATTATCCAGACTTATTGGTATAACTCTCTAGATCATCTACCTAACCATCTCCGATAAAGTTCTCGACTTCACTCGTGCATACCCTGAGGGTCGTACCCAACATCTACTCGTACCTCGAATCTACCCTAACTGCCTCGAGATTACCTGGGTCATACCTTTAACTCGCTAATGTCTAGCCCTTGGTCTACATAGAGACCAAACTACCTTGATCTTTGCCCCAAGCCCTAATCTACACACTAAGATTGTCTACACTTTTCGACCAATGGAACTTTACTCATATTTTTGCTAAAACGCTCTCATTGTCCCCTGAAGACTCTCTGAGTCATCTACAGTTACTCTATCAGGGTAGTGGAGCACGAATGTGACTATACTCCACCCTGAACTATGGCATTTCTAGCGCTAACCTCCTCAACGAGTTTCCATGGTGAACCAACATCTCCCTATTCCATTATCGAGTATCCTACCTGATTTATCTTCACCTAGAAGTAGAAATCTCACCTCGTGTCCTCTCTCTAGAACCGAAGAGTCCTTGAAGCATACAAGAAACATCTCTGAGTCGAACTCTTGCTCGGTTTTTACGATCGAGGCACTATCCCTTTTTCCTCGTCTCTCCCTTCTCCTTCTTTTGGGACCTACACTCTTTCTTATAGTGCCCCTTCTAGTCGCAGTACCAACACTTTACATGGTCTTTGAATTTTCCCTCTTACCATTCGATTTGTGGGGCTTACCTCTAACTAATAGTCTTTCTCCTGAACCCCTCTTCGGGGTATTTGAGCTAGAAATTCTAGCTCCTTTATCCTTGTTCGTGCCTTCACCTCCTCCACCAAGATCGATGCTCAAGAGTACTTCAAAACCTTCCTTAACTACTCGTAAACAAGAGACACAAGACAAGGAGTTCAGCAGATAAACTTTCTGGTACTCCTCCAAACTATCTGCTACTCTTCTAAACCCCAAAATTCTAAACTCCAAACGAGTGTCACCATTTTGACAAGTATGATCAGTTTGACGTGTATAACCATTTTGACAAGTATGATCAGTTTGAGAGTATGACCATTTTGATGAATTTGCAGTTTAACTAGTTTGAGGAGTAAAATCATTTCAAAGAGTTTGACCGGTTTAATTGATTTGACAAGTTAAACTGTTTGACCAAGAATCATTCATGAGACTAGTTTAACTAATATGATCGATTTGACTGGTGTGACTAATATGAATCTTTTAACTCATTTATGTCTATACAATAGGATGTGTTACTAATATATATTTCGTTTGACTCATCTATATTATATGAATCAAATATAAATGTAAAAATGAAATAAATCCTAAATGCCCAAAATAATATCGGATTAGAAGAAAAACTTGTCTATTATCAAAATATTTACTTATTAGACAGAATATTTTGGAGATTTTATTTATTTTTCATATTTAATTAGCCAAGAAATTGCATAAAAGAAAAAATTCGAACTGATAGAGCAATAAGTGGTGAGAACCACAAGTGGTGAGAGAGAGTGCTAGAGGAGAGAGAAACTTATTTTTGTATTATTATATTATATAAAAGGTAAAGAGTAATATAAAAAAAAAGTTATATTTATAAAAGCATTAAGGGATACTGTCTTTATTGTCTTTTTTTAGGGTATGATTTGAATTCCAATATTATCATTTAAGGGTATTCTGTTTTTGCCCCGGTTTATAATTTGTTTTGCTCACTGACGAGAGAATTGGGAACATGATGGATACTTCCTTTATCATGGAATAGTCCATTATATTTATATATTAATATTATTGAAATGGCATAATTTTACATTCACATACCAATCCCTGTTAATAAACTATATCTGAAGATTTAATACATTGATATAAGATTATACCAAATTTCAAAATTCTATATAAATTTGATGTAAATAAACAAGTTGATATTTTCAAGGATTTCTGCCAAGTCAAATTCTAAATTATTTTTTTTGTTTTTGTATAAACATTCCTCCTTTGATATACAAACAACCCAACAAAATAAAAGTCAGTGATAGACACAAAATTTATAGGGGAAAAAAGGGGGAAAAGGTGAGACATAGTATCAACTCCAATTCCCAAAAGAAGAAGAATCACTTCCAGATCTTGAAAAACTTGTCATGGCTGGCCGAAGCGATCATTCCGGAGACGTTTGAAGCGGCCAACGCAGAGACAAGATTGTCGTGGGCGTGCAGAGTCATCGTCTTGTTCTCCGCCATGTTCCACAGCTCCAGCGTCTTCCCATCACACACACACACACACACACATCGAAATCATTCTCTCTTTCTTGTTTTGCAATGCAGGGTTTGGTTCGGTAATTGATTTAAGGTACAAAAACGAGATGGCCCGAAGCCAACTCGTTTTCTCGTTTTTAGACGAGTTTACAACGAGCTAGCTTGGCAGAGCCACAAACAAGGGTGGGTATTCGGTTCGGTTATTCATAAACCTATTAACACGTAACTGAATCCAGTATAAAAACCGAATGATTATAATATTTTTATAATCGAAAAACCAAACCCCGATATAAAAGTAACCGAAAAAACATAAATTTCTTTAAAAATACACGTTTTTCTCATTGAAAACCGAACCTAAACCCAAACCCGAGCTGAACCTAACATAAAACCCTAATAGATATAGGTTTCTAAAACCGAAAGAAACGAAAACCGAAATGCCCACCCCTACCACAAACCCTAAATTTCCTTTTCTTCAATTTTTCCGTGATTCTGTTCCCAACGCGATTTCGAGCCACCTCGTTTTTACACCCCCTAGAGTAAGAGAAATGATACTGAATTCGAGTAAAAAATGGTATTACCTCGTAGCAGCCGATAATGAGAAGGGGAGTATAGGTGGGATGGAAAACGCAGGTGTTGTATTTGTTTCCGCTCGAGCTCAGCTCGTGAATGCATTCGCCTTTGTTGCTCGACCCGATGGACCACACTCTCACCATATCGCTGCTCACCGAAGCCAGATATTCCCCCGACGGATCCCAACAGACCGAGTGCACCACTCCCTTGTGACCCTTTTTTATATAAATCACTAGTCAGGATTTCTCTTTGACAAGAATTTGCAAATTTCAGTATAATATTATATGATTCATGCAAACTTAGTAAAAAATTAACTTTTATACCGAATCAAAACATGAAATTATCCTTAATTCCAAAATAAAACATGAATTCACCTCTAATTTCCAAGTTTTACCACACGGATATGGGATAACATGTCAAATTTTCAAAAATTTATGTTTTATCCAGGAATTCGGGACAACTTCGGAGAGAACTTTATCTTTTCTGTATGATAAATATTAACGGAGGACGCAACGGAACCTGTAATTTGCGCCTGCAAACTTGAGTCTCGACATCGAGTATGGATACATAATTGTCAGCTGCAGCTGCAAGAATCCTCCCGGCTCCAGGCTGAAACCTCATCTGTGTTGCACCTCCCTGTATAGATACCATGATGAATTTAGGTTTTCGATTCGGGTTCCAGTTTATCCGGGTTTGATTTTTTCGGTTTTTAGTAAATCTGTATCCATTCAGTTTTTTTTATGGTAGATTCAGTTCGATTTCCGTCCGGGTTCAGTTTTTCAAGATTAAAAAAGCTTATTTTAAAAAAAATATTTACGGTTTTTCAGTTATTTCTATATTCGGTTCGGCGTAGGTTATCTGGTTGTAAAAATATCATAACCATTCAGATCTTATATCGGATTTGGTTCAGCTGTGGGTCATGAATAACCGAACCGAATGCCCACACCCTAGTAAATGGTTCGATGTTTGTTTGTAGTACCTTGAAAACGCCGGCACAGCTGCCATTCTTTATACTCCAGTACCGTATCTCGCTGTTATTGTCGCACGAACAAAGAAGATCCTCCTTACTCGGGTGGAAATCCAACGACGTGACTGTTGTTGAATGTCCCGTGAACGTACGGAGAGAATACCCCGGCTGAAAAAAAACCCACAATACCCAGAACAAAAAGGGCTTAGCTTGAACTATCGGAAAAAGTCAGTATGGCTAGTCGTGTACTTACATTATCAGCATCCCAGACACGGACAGTTTTATCGGCCGAGGAAGTGGCGAGCCGAGAGACGTTAGGACTAAAACGGACATCGGTAATCCACTGAACATGCTCCTCAAGAATAGACTTCATTGCAAATGAGTCTGTAGACCATAATACAGCCTGCATGATGACAAATGACGGGCATAAACATCCAGTTAAGGGTGGGCACCGGTCGGCTACCTGAAAAATTTGCGGTACCCGAAGGCCTCGGTACCATGATTTGATACCTGCACTCGTACCCGAGGGTTTCAGATAACCATAAAATGTTTGGATACCCATGGGTCCAGTTGCAGGTTTCTCAGCCAAAGAATGATCAAATAGTTTGAACGCCTCGGGACACCGTTCACGATACCGGAAACTAGGTATACGAAACCAAAAAAAAATACCTTTTTGTCGTGCCCACCAGTAGCAAGAAGCTTTCCGTCGGACGAGAAATGGCAGCATTCAATTTTACTCATGCTCGCAGAAACGTGTTGGATCTCCGTAAATGTAAAACCTAATATTCAGTACAAACAGCAAAACCCAATATATCATGCATTCAATTCGAAACTGATTCACGATACTTTCTTTCGGGGCGGCGAAAAGAGAAAGAACTAAAAATAGAAATAGCGGAAACAGGAGTTTTACTGTTTTTACCTTTTCCGACACCGGTATTGCTGCCACCATCTCTAGGTTCAACATCATCGTTAGTTATGTATGAATCCACATTGTCATCTAAAGTTCCGTCATCTACAAAGCGGTCCATATTGGCCTGCATATGCTTTCTCGGCTCAGAAATTTTTTCTAAGAACTCGAAAATTCCCAGACGCAAATGAAACAAAAATATAAGAAAACAGAATAGCTTGTGAAAAAAAAAGTTGCTTACTAGTTGATTTGATGAAGGGGGAAGTGGACCAACACCATCAGAAGAACCATACATAAGCATAGATTTTGATGTAATACCAGTAGGTGGTAAGCTGGATCTAGACATAACATCTCCCGGTGTCTGATTGGTCGAAGGGGATGACGGTGAGCTCGGCGACGGCCCCGTTGTATTAGCAGTTCCCGAGCTGTTTGCAGGGCCGGATGAAGATGCCGGTTGTTTCCTTTTCCTTGCCATCTGATTCTTCGACGCCTTATTATCACACACGATAGATTTTAGTTAAAACAAACGAAGGTGGTGATTGATAGTGTTGAGGATTAGAATGCCAAATACCTGTTCGTTGCCCTGGAAAGTGTTGGACATGCTACCGTCCATATTCACGTTTCCTGAGCCGATAGCTTTATCCGGTTGCTGAAGAATGTGACCCGAATTCTGAGACTGCTGACTCGAAAGCTGGTCTTGTTGGTAACTTGGGGGCTGTTGGCTGTTGTTGAGAAGCTGTTGCTGTTGTAGCTGAAAGATATTATTGTACCGTTGTAACTGAATGCTTTGTTTTCAGGAATAACGAAACAGAACAAAGGAATCGTAGTGAGCAGAAAACGAATACTGAACCTTAATTAGCATTTCGGGATCTCCACGAGGCAGAGGAGGGCAGCCCGGTTGAATTGCCGATCCTATGTTTGGGACATCGCCGACAGAATTTAGTGAGCCATCCTTTCCGAGGTTCATGTTCTGATTGCTGAGTAGCATTTTCAGTTTCCTAACTTCTAAATCACTTGCAGATGGCGATGTCAAGTTTCGGGCCTGAAGTAACAGCTGTTGTTGCAACGGGAGCTGGCTAAAAGCTTGAGAAGGTGAAACCAGAGATTTTTGTTGCTGAAGAATCCCTGATCTGATTTGATCGAGGCCCTAAAAATGGAAGGAAAAAAACTCACAAAATCATACCAAAAAAGACATACTGAAGGAACATCCAGAAAAAATTGAACATGAGAAATAAAGAATGCATCAAGAGTCAACTACTCAGAAGAAATATTGGCAGAAGCAAGCGTTCAACGTGTTTTGACCTAAGGCACAGTTGTACAATAGTTTTAAATGTGGCAGCATCTACTCATAGAGTTTCATAGTGTAGAAATAGAAAGAGGAAACTTACAGCCAAAGGCCATCCTTTCAATGTCAAGTTGCCACCACCTGGATTGGTTCCTGATACAAAAAAATTCAAATAAAATGCATTGGAAGAAAAGAAAAAAAAAACTAAATTATGATGAAAGATAGAACTGAAACCGGTAACCTGATAGCGTATGCGAAAAATGTAAAAATAAGTACCATGGACGCCGACAAATGATCCATCAGGTGCTGCACCTCTGGAATTCATCATTGAGCCCACATCATTTCTCCCATCCTGTTCACAAATTTATAGCCAGTGCTTATTGGACAAATCACACAAAATTCTAGCACGGGTGGGTCGAAGGATGTAAATACCTGTGCAGATAAAGGCAGCTGTTGATTCCGAATTTGAGCTTGTTGAAGATTTCCAGAAATGGCACCAGGGGCACCATGCAATGTCTGCCTGAAAATTTATGTTAAACAGCCACCAGGTTAAACATCACTAACTCGCTAAACAAAACACTACATTCTTCAAAGGGTAGCATTCAAATACATAAATTTATCAGATAAGGCAGCTGTTGATTCCGAATTTGAGCTTGTTGAAGATTTCCAGAAATGGCACCAGGGGCACCATGCAATGTCTGCCTGAAAATTTATGTTAAACAGCCACCAGGTTAAACATCACTAACTCGCTAAACAAAACACTACATTCTTCAAAGGGTAGCATTCAAATACATAAATTTATCAAATAAACCCCCGCCGGTCTGCCCACCCATTGCGGCTGCTTTTAGTATCGATGCCTGATTCGGGTCCATAATCTGGCCCGAATTGTCACCGAACCTTTGCTGCATCGGCAACAGCATTTCATAAAAGTGTATCAACAGAGAAATGGAAGAAAAGCAGATACTATGGAGGAAGTCAGGGATGTGTGCTACCTTCAAAGCAGCATCATCAACTAAGGAATCCCTCTGAAGAGGAAGCTTTAGCCGATCTTCGTATATCTTAGCAGCCAAGGCACCTGAAGTTGAAGGGCTCTGCCTAATATGACTTTCACTTCCCATAAAAGTTCCGGAAGCTCCGTGCAGAAGTGGGCCATTACCATCGCGTCTTTGTTGCTGCTGTTGCTGTTGTTGCTGTCTTTGTAACATAACTTGTGACATCGGCATTTGCTGATTCTGTTGGGGCTGTCTCTGTTGTTGTTGCTGCTGCAACTCCCGTGCCTTGAGCATTTGACTCTGGATCACAGGGTTTTTTTTTTATGTTCACACTTTGAGTTCTAAGAAGAAATCTTCTTACGGAATACCATCTACTAGAAAAAGAAAGTACCCTTTTGGAACCATGAAATTTGATGAACTAGAAAACAACATTAATCATCTGATCTCGTTAATTATGTTCATGGAGAGGACTTGTGTGAACATATCAAGGGTATCTAGAACCTTTTGAGGAAAGACACATATGAGAATGCAAAAAATAGCCATACATCAACGAGAAGTTAACAACTATTTGGATCTTACATCCTACCTCGAGATAAGCAGAGGCAGCTTCTGAGTGCTTTTCATTTGTCCGGGCAATGAATATGTCCCAAAACACAGACCACCACTCGAACAAAAACCCACCAGGAGCATCAATAGCTAGTGTAATTCAGTAAAAAAAATACAGTTAAAGATCAATTTAGTCTTCAACATGCATACCAAAACTACGAATGCTCATACTAAGAACTAGCGTAAAGTAGTTCAGGAATTTCTACTTACCGACAGGATCGGTTGATACTTTGCCCTCCGCCTGAAAAGCCTTTGCAGAAGCATGTAACTTCCTCTTTACAAGGTAGTCATAGATGTAGACATCCAACCTATGAAAGGAAAAATTTCCAACACACCGAAACTTATGCATATGTTTTGGCTCGCACGGCGAATGAGAAGCACAGAAGATATACCTCTTTTGCAAATGGGAATGGCATTCAAGAGATAACATCAAATACTATAACATGGAAATATTCAATCAAAGGGTACCCAATATAAGCGATATATGCAAAAGATACCCTAATTATACAACAAGCTTGATCGTTGTTTGCCAAGAAATGATGTTAAAACTATACCATATGAGAAGCAGAGAGAATATAACTGGAAGGTGGATCACACAAACAAAATTTATGCACTTGCAGGAAACTTAACGACATGATCGATCTACATATTGGGTGATTTCCATAACCATTGAACCAGATTATCACCATGATCTTAACATGCCACAAAAGTTCATTTCAACATCACATATGGTAAAAAAAAAAGAGACCCCAAAACTGAATTTTCCCCGCAGGGCAAAACCTAGGATTAAAGCCCTAGAAAGGAAAAGCATAAACAAGCATAAAATTCGAGAGACAACAAGAAAACAACAGTGACCCAGCGGATGAAAACCTAATTCATTTGCTTCTTCAAACGATGTAACCCAAAGTTTAATCAACTACATCAGCAAAATCATCGATGGAAAACCCTAAAATCCAGACTAAAACCCTAAATCTCCATGGAAAGCGACAAAAGGAAGGAAATTACAACAAACCCAGATAACAAAATCCAGAGAAACCCGCAAAGGAAAAGGCTTTTCCGAGAAATACTCACATTTTATCGGCCTCCCAATTCGTCTGCGACATGATTACTGTACTGGGCCAAGAGCAACGACCACGAAACTTGAGGAAAAAGCGAAAAAGGGAGACGATTTCGAAGGACGAGAAAAAAGAATGTCAGGCTAAGAACCCCTCAGGACTGTGTTCTGATGAGAAAGAACATGCCCACTGGCTTTTCGAAAACGTAGAAAATATGCCAAAGAAGGACGAAGATAATCTGTGTCGTAATAAAACAACAACTCATCTCGGGAATTTCTACGGAAATAATAAATAAATAAATAAATTATTATTCCTTTGTTTTGCTCTGCTTAGCTTTTCCTTCGTGTTTGAAATCTTTTACAATAAGAGATATAAACTTTTTATTTATTCTTTATGAAATTTTATCTCAATGGAGAATAAATTTGATCTGTCCTTTCTTTTCTGTCGTCGTTCTCTTTAGAAATTATGGTCAACGGAATGGAATGGAATGGAAGTAAACAATATATTTATAACAAAAACTAATATAATCTTTTTATTTAAAAAAAATTTAAAAAGTAATAACCGAAACCCAGAACACCATCCTAATTATAATATTCTATTCAATTCGAATTTGTATAGAAAAAAAAATCAAATCTACCATTCTTTACTTTTGAGTCTTGACAACACATTAATTTTTATTTTATTTACTATTAATTTGCACCATCTAAAATCACTCTATATCTCTAGCAAAAACAAATTTAGCTTTTTAGCCGTGAGGCAAAAGAAATATTATTTTTTGACTTTTGAGAGTTTTTGTTCAACAGTCGTACCAAAAGAATTCAACGAAACAACTTCCTTCTGCGGTCAACTTTTTTCTAAAATTAAAATTCCAGAAAAAAAAATATAAGAGTAGTAAATATTGGAGTTTAGGACCTAAAATTTTGGTAGTTGCGAAACGGGTTCAAAGCGTATCGTTCCGATTTCGAATTTTAAATTTGGAGAGAGAATGTATAATCCAAATTATATGATTATTTTCTGATCTTAGGATTAGTCTGGGTCTTAGTTTAGAATAACCGATTAAACAGAAAAATATTGGAGTTTAGAATTACTTATTTTTCTGCCAAATTATTTGTATGGAAAGCCAAATCGGGATACTATTTTATTGGAGTTTATACTGTAATTTATATTCGTATAGATACAAATAAAAGACTTTAAAATCTATCTAGTTGTCTGCTCGAGTCTTCTCATAAATACTTTTTTTTTTCATTTGTGTTAAGATTAAATAATTATCATAAAACGAGATAACTTTTGGACTTAGTGTATTTGATGTAAACCCTTTGTAGCGATCTAAATCCGATATAACGTGTCGGTTGAGTCATCGTGTGGATTCTAAAAAGATTCTAATTTACTTCAAATCAAACAACGGCGTCTCCAATTTACTGCGGAAGTCTCAAAAATGAAATTCAATAACATAATAAATTAAAAATCAAAATCTACTCAGTATCTCGTTTCAACTAAGTCCAATCATTAGATCTCGTTGAAAGGTTTAGTATTGCCGATGAGATCAATTTCAATGTGTATAACGTTTGCGGAGCGTTATAAACTCTAAACTTTTAAAATATTTGTTTGTATATGAAATTTATCAAAAAAAAATGTTAAAGATCACAATAATTTGGGGAAAGTCCACATAAAAACATTGAATTTACTAAAATATATATAATATAATCTTCCACTTGTAAACATATCTATATAAATATCTGATTTCCAACACCATTACGGATAAAACCATTAAACCTGTTAATTACTTCTCAAATAAATTTTCAAATATCGAATAGAAATCCACGTGTTGTTGATGGAATGTTGACATCAACTTATACGCATCAATAATTTTATATTATATTATGACACATCAACAAATTTTTTTTAATTTGTGGAAACCACATTGAAAAAAACCAAATTCGAAAATTGAACTAAAAATGAGGGATGCTGCTGATGAGCAAATCAGGGGTGGGTGGGAAATCACCGTCGAAGATGGCGACAAAGACAAATTCGTAGTCTTTGACGTGACTGCATCAAGCCAACTTGGTTAGTTCCATCGGTGAAATATAGACTAAAACATCTATTCCGTCCCGAGTTTGAGTGTTAAATTGGGAAATGACATAACTTGTTACTATCCCCGGATTTAGTATGGACCTCGGTTCCCGAATTTACCCAAAAACCGATGACCAAAAACAAAACTGGAATTCAAACTTGAGATTGCCAGCTTTGTAGCCTTCTCTGGTCTGCGCCATTGGATCGTCGGTGTTATCCAGAATCTGAATTAAAATCTTCGATTTTGGCCAGTCTAAGCTACACACAAAAAGAAGAACGTTGAAAAGCCGCAAAGCAAGGACTGCAAATTTCGATTCTCGCGGGATTCGAGATCGGAGACGGCGTCTGATTCGGGGACAGGTTTGATCATCTTGAAGCGGGTCCAGAAACAGCCGAGAAAGAGGATGAGCATGTCCAAACTCTCGATGAGGAACAGGAAGATGCAGACATTGGCCAAGGAACTGAAGCGGAGGAGCGACATATTCCACTCGAAGCAGAACCCATCTCGTATACCCTTTGAATTCAAATGGCGAAACCTTGAAGATGTACTGAAGCTGCAGATTCGGAGCACCGAAATGCCATCTCTTGAGCGACTTCGAAGGCGAGGAGAAGAAGACAATAACACCTTAAAAACCGGTTTCCACAAAAAAAAAATTTTAAAAAAAAAACAAATTGCTGACGTGTCGTAATTTAACAAAATTTTTTGTGAAAGCTGACGTCAGCATTCCGCCAACACGTGGATTCTCGTAAACCCCGATTCGAACGAATCAAGTTGTTTACATCACCAAACAAGAGCAACCGAAAAATGAAAAGTTTGTAAATGTGAAATTGAAAATACCGCTTTTAAATCTAAATGAATACACATTTTTTCGCATATTTGAATAAAATATATTCACATTTATACACGAAGATTACCCTTGAAATTTCTTTATATCTTGTAAGTATTTAAAATTGAAATTTTTGCTTGGGAGATTTTTATGGTTGTGAACCTTATTATAATATTTATCCATTATAATTAATATGTAATTATATCACAATATGCTCACTCTTTTTTTCCAAGATTAAATGACCAATTTCAAAGTTAAACGACAACAGTGACGATTATCGGGTCAATTATCAATTATGTACAAATTTACAATTGAGTATACCACTTTCAACCAAAATTTGGGTAATTCATCCGATGAAAAACATCTGTTTCGTTCCGAGTTCAAAACTCAAATTTGAAAAAAAAAACGTATAATCTAAATCATATGGTCGGCTCCCAATTCTCCAGAATATCCGATTAACAAAAACATATATATATAACCAAAAAGAAAGAATAAGTTATTCCTTGAAAATCTGCTGATTGTATCATTCTAATTGCAACTTTACGTCATAAAAGTTAAAGACATTAGTTAGATCGAATGCATAATGAACATTCTAGTTATTAAAAAAAAAAGATTGCTTACTTTTTACAATTCTATATTCGGAAAATTTTGTATATTCGGGAAACTAAAATAATTCGGACATAGAAAAGAAAATTAGTTCGTATCAATCAAAATCAAACCTGATACCATTGTAGGATCCGAAAATTTTAGAAAGTTGTAATTGAAAGTTGACTCTAAACAGAGAACATAGAAATATTTATATATACGGAAGAACATCTTAATAGATTACATTGATATAAACAAAATTTGTAGAGATATTAAATTAAATAGGTATTATATCAAAATTATCTTTTATTTTGCCATAAACCTTAGATTATCTTTTTTTAACTTATTTTGGTGTGTCTAATATGATCGATGTGATTACCATATCGATTTAAACGATATGATTAATATGACTAATATAATTTTTATATAATTTTAACGGTGAAAAGCAATGTGATTATAAAATAGATCACATTGGTCAGATAAAAAAAATGTAAAAAGATATTGTTTGAAATATATATATATATATATAGTAAAATAAGAATATTTTTTATAATGTATCTGTTAAATAATATTGACAATATATAGAATATATTTTAATAATTCAATTGCAAATTTTTTTCCGTACCTCTGTAATGTCACGTGGAACAATACAAAACCGAACCTTCCGCTCCAGATGGCTAATTTGACGAACATAAGTTTGTGGAGTTGTAATTCTATTTTCCCTCGTCTGTGTGTATGGTGTGGGGGTAATGCTAATGCCCGTTTCATTCTTATAAAGAGCACTTATTTCTCTTTTTAATATATTTTTTAAATCCAAGAATCTGATTCGATTCTATTATACACAAATTAATTCAATTTAATATATATGACTAAAAATACTTTTAAATCCTAAAATATAAATGAAAGAATGATTCAAGAGAAAAAGTGATATATATATATATATATATATTGATTGATGTAAAATACTTGAATCTCCCTAATAATTGAAAATAAAGTGCTATATATTATACATTTATTAAAGGTATTCAATTATTTTGCAAGTATTTCATATAGGGCAATAGAATGTTGGATATTTATTTATTTATTTTTATCTCTAGGATACAGTTGCACTGAATTAGATATAGTCAAAGATTGAACCAATTTAACTCAGTTGGAATAAGTGGAAAACAAATAAATTCATGAAAAATGATTAAAAATAAAATTACAATTAATTGTAAGTTGTAACACTGAAAATTCTATTTCTTTCTATTAAATGGCAACAAAAAATCACCTAATTGTGTGGCCTTAAAGATCGGAGAGATTAGTTGAAAAGTGGGAAGCAGTCCAATGCTTTTGCCAGAAAACGTTTTTATGCTTTATTAATAATTTGGATGCCTATTAAAATTTATCATTTCTAATTTGCTATAATCCCACTAAATTATATGTAATATAAAGTTTAATCACTTTTGAATATGTTAATTTTTTAACCACACACAAAAAAAAAAACATTAAAAATTAATTGGAAATCAGAAAGAAAACTGTTTTTTTTAGTTTTTTTTTGTAGCACGGATATTTTCTAGTCCATTTCAACATTATCCGTGCGAATTTTTTTATCAAAAAAATATTTATTTTACAAAATATTTACATGTTTATACTATTTTAAAACTAGTCTGATTTCTATCAATTTTACTTAAACTTAAAATTTATCGATTTTAATTAACATAAAATTTATCAATTAATTAAAAATAAATTTTATAATTAAATTTAAAATAATCTGTATTAAATAAAATTAAAATTACATTTGATTAACCTTATAGTTTGGATTTCGTCCAAAATGGCTCTCTTACATTTTTGTTGGCTCCTCAATCAGCTTTATTTTTTCGAAATTTGCTTTTCATTACCTTTGTGTCCTCGTGATAGCTTTTGATACCTTCCATTTCTCTTCTTGCAGAACAGAGCCTCACAAACTCCACTCCCACACACAGACAGTACTTTCTCTCTCCCATCGCAGATGGGTTCTCGCCGGAAAACCGCTTCTGGTTTTTCTTCAAACCTTGTTCACCGACGGTCTTGACTTAAATTACAAGAAAAACCCGGTTTCGTCTGGTTCAGTTTTTCTTCTGGGTTTGTCTTCTAGTGTTTGCAAGAAACCGACAATGGCGGCCACTCTCGGGGTCCGTTTCGCGGTTTGTTTTGTCCTCTGGGTTCTGTTGCTGACTCAGCAAGTTAACTCCGATCCGACTCAGGACAAGCAAGCGCTTCTCGCGTTCCTGCGGCAAATCCCTCACGAGAAGCGTCTTCAGTGGAACGAGTCCGGCTCGGCCTGCGACTGGGTCGGTGTCGAGTGCGACGCGAGAAACTCCTCCGTCTTCTCTCTCCGATTGCCCGGTGTTGGGTTAGTTGGTCGGATCCCGACCGGGTCGCTAGGCCGACTCAGCCAGCTCCGAGTACTCAGTCTCCGATCCAATCGTCTCTCCGGCGAGATCCCGGCGGATTTCTCCAACCTCACTCACCTTAGGAGCTTGTACTTGCAGGGTAACGAGTTTTCCGGCGAGTTTCCGGAGAGTATCACTCGGTTGACTCGGTTGACTCGGCTCGATATCTCCTCTAACAGCTTCACTGGGCACATTCCTTTCGCGGTTAACAACCTCACTCAATTGACTGGGTTTTTCCTGGAAAATAACCGATTTTCCGGGGAAATCCCCAGCATCAGCGTAGATTTGGTCGGCTTCAATGTCTCCAACAACAACCTTAACGGCTCGATCCCGTCGTCATTGTCCAAATTCCCAGCCTCCTCGTTCGCCGGAAACCTAGATCTCTGCGGCGGCCCATTGAAACCCTGCAACCCTTTCTTCGGAACTCCGCCGCCATCTCCGTCATCAGCTCCGCCATCGAATTTGTCCCGGAAAAAGTCAGGCAAGCTCTCCACGGCGGCGATTGTGGGGATCGCCGTCGGTTGCTCTCTAGCGGGTCTTCTCCTTCTCGCTCTCCTCCTCCTCCTCTGCCTCAGAAACCGCCGCAGTGGAACCGACCAGCGCGCGAGACAGAGGAAACCCACGACGGCGGCGGCCGCGGCGGAGCTTCCACCGGGTACGTCTTCCTCGAAGGAGGAAGCGACGGGGTCGTTGTCGGGTCTGGCCGGAGAAACGGAGAGGAACAAGCTCGTGTTCATGGAGGGAGGGATGTACGGTTTCGATCTGGAGGATCTACTGAGAGCTTCCGCGGAGGTTTTGGGGAAAGGAAGTGTCGGAACGTCGTATAAGGCGGTGCTGGAGGAAGGCACGACGGTGGTGGTGAAGAGGCTGAGGGATGTGACGGCGGCGAAGAAGGAGTTCGAATCTCAGATGGATCTTGTCGGAAAAATCAGACACCCCAATGTGCTTCCATTGAGGGCTTATTATTACTCCAAGGATGAGAAGCTTCTTGTCTTCGATTTCTTACCCACCGGAAGCTTGTCGGCCCTTCTTCACGGTCAGTCCTCTCTCAATCTCTCGTCTCTCCCGATCGAGAGATCACTTAGTTTTTTTTTTTTCCAATTTTCTGGTAATCAACTTCACTTGCTAGAATTCAGAATCTTTGCTTTCTTCTGGGTTTTTTTTAAGTTAAGTTGTTTGCTTGATGTTCTTTCTATATTTGCCAGTCCCATAAGAATGTTTCCGGCATGTTTATTTTCCTGTCAATTTTTTAATGTACTGTTCAATTGAAAAAGCTCGCCACCCATGATTCACGGCCCGATTTCTGGGTCAAGTTTTGGATTCAGAAACCCTAGATTCGAGTTTTGGAGAATAACCCATGATCCGGGCTTGTTTTACTTGCTGTTTATTCTGTGATCTTGACCGATGTCAGTGCATTCCAGCTGTTTGTTTCCTAGGAAAATCGAATCAGAAAAGAAAAGAAAAAAACCAAAACTTTGAAACAAACTTAGAAGCAAGACCCCATTGATCCTGTGATTGATAAAATATAATCTGCAATACAAATGATGCGATCATCAACTCCCGCATGATCTTTGCCGTCCATTATAAGCTATATAATATATTTGTTTCTTCATAAAGTTTATGGGTGTGCTTGTAGTGTGTAGTTGGAGTGGTTACATGCAATTATTTTAACGACAGGAAGCTACTAAGTCACCGAACATTGTCTCTCTGCATCTGGTAATTGTTTAATGAAAGTTTCACAACGTTTGCTTCTGTCTCACACTTGATGGAAATGTTACAGAACACAAAATGATTTCTATATTGATATACCTCATCATATCACGTGGGACCTTCACGCTCTCTCATCTTATGATGACCCTTTCCCTTGAAGTTAACCATTAATCGATTGATTTAGTCAAAAGTGTGCAAAATTAGGGTTCTTGTCCATTTCGAAAAGGGTCATTCAGAATGTGATTATCTCACTATCTTTGTGTTGAGATCATTCTTGAAATCTGTATTTAGTTTGCTCACTCGTAGCTGTCAACAAGAGTGAACATAGATCAACAAACTCTAGGTCCACATTGTTCTTGTGTGTATCCATTTGGTTAGGACATTGGTGTTTGGAAGTAATGTAATGTTAACCCGCAATGTTGGTCTGTAACTTCCGATGTTTCAGGGAGCCGAGGATCCGGGCGGACCCCGCTAGATTGGGAAAACCGTATGAGAATAGCAATTACCGCGGCTAGAGGGTTGGCTCACATCCATGTATCGGCGAAATTGGTCCACGGGAACATCAAAGCCTCAAACATTCTCCTACAGCCTAACCATGAAGCCCGCATCTCCGACTTTGGACTCAACTCCTTGTTTGGAAACACAAACCCGCCAAACCGTTTGGCGGGTTACCGTGCTCCTGAGGTTCTCGAGACCAGGAAAGCGACTTCCAAATCGGACGTGTACAGCTTCGGAGTGTTACTGCTCGAACTATTGACGGGTAAATCGCCTAACCAGGCTTCTCTTGGGGAAGAAGGCATCGATCTTCCGAGATGGGTGCAGTCCGTGGTTAGGGAAGAATGGACGGCCGAGGTTTTCGACGTGGAACTAATGAGGTACCACAATATCGAGGAAGAGATGGTTCAGCTTTTACAGATAGCGATGGCCTGTGTCTCGACGGTTCCCGATCAAAGGCCTGCAATGCAGGAAGTGGTAAGAATGATCGAGGATGTGAGCCGAAACGAGACGACTGATGACGGGTTAAGGCAATCTTCGGATGACCCATCAAAGGGTTCGGAGGGTCAGACGCCACCTGGCGAGTCACGGACTCCACCACGATCCGTCACCCCTTAGGGATCCTTCCGATCTCAGATGGCTAATGGGCACATCACAAGAGAAGAGAAAATAATGACTGACAGCTTTTCCTTTTTCACTTTTCCCAGCAGAAAGAAGATTAGGAAACGACGTGGTGTGGGGTCTTGGTTCAGCGAAACGGACCGCAGTCCGAAAAAGCAAAAAAAAATGACAGGAAAAGGAAGGGACCATGTGCAGAGTTTCTGCTTGGAGACTTCTAGAGAGTTTGGCATCTCCAAAATGTTCTTTTGTTAGTTGACTGCTATTCTAAAAAAAAAAATTAAGGATTTTTTTTTCAATTTAAATTTGAAGAAGATTTTTTTTTTTACAAGATTTCAATTTGTCTATTTTCCTCCTTTGCTGTTGGGTTTTGTGGAGAGGATGTAATAGAACCCAAGAACTTAGGAAGAGGGAAGTGTCGTGTTTGCGTATCGTTGTCTGATTTCATTTTATAATTCGAGATTTTAGCAAGAATTCCTTTACAAGGCTAAGTCATGTTTAGCACATTTGTCCTAGGGATGATATTTCAACTAAACTTGACCAAACCGTAAGTTTTTAATATTGAATATATATATATTCAATTGATGAAGGACATTAATGATAATAGTCACATTCCAGTCAAGATGATGCGTACATATGTCTATGGGTCTGCATTTAGTGTTGGGAAAACAAAATATACTCAAAAGCTTAAATATTTTGAGACCAAATCTACTGAACTGAACGTTAGGGATCCAAGGAGAACAAAGAAACCAGAATCATCATCAAGCCAAAAACGATAGAGAAAGTCGTGGGAACCCAGACACTCAATCAACACCGCTATGTTTTTTTTTTTTTTTGATATCGTGGAAAACTCCAACTGTCATCCTTCAGACGTACTGGTTGGGTAAACTTGCGTCCACATGCACGAATCCGCGACACACATGAGAGGTAAATCGACACCACAATGTTGCCATGTACCCAAAACCGAAGAAACTTGCATTTGAATGCAAGAAAGCAATGTATGTGAAGTTACTTGGTACTCCATGAACTTTCTCTTCATGCCCCTCTTCAAATATGTATGTATTAGAATCATTAATTATAATATAACTATGGTTAAATATAAGTTTGGTGAAGTTAGTTTATTATGGTTAGGGTTTACTAGGGATTTTTGTTTCACTCCATTGTATTTAAGTATGATGTGTTTGATCAATAAAAGATATAGCAGAAAATATTTTCAAAAAAAAAACCTAGTAAACCCTAACCATAATAAACTAACTTAACCAAACTAATATTTAACCATAGTTATATTATAATTAATGATTCTAATAGAAAATTATTTTTATTATCTCATTTGATATGTCATACTTCCATAAGTTTGTGTTTATTATGTTATTTCTATTGTTTGCAACAATTCTAATTTTCAATCTACGTTGAACATTAGTTATACGTGTACAAAAACTTATTTGTAGTTTGAAATATAGAAAAATTTAATGACACTTTAAATTTTTAATTTTCATTTCTAAATCAATATGCGTAATGATTAAGTTTTTCGATGTTTCCCAACATATGTGGTACACGTAGTAACCAATCACCATATCATGTGCAAGAAATTATCCACATCATCAATTTTTTTTTGTTACACAAATAAAAATTTAATATATATATATATATATATATATATATATATATTCTGTAAAAGGGTACTAAAACTTTTTTAATATAAAAATGAAGTATGCCAAATGTTATCTACTTTTTCCTGAAACAAACATGGAAAATAAATAACTAAGAAAAAAACTATAAAAAAAGGAATATATAGCAGATATTCCTATAACTTTATAGAAAACAGATGATGTATACATTTACGGATAGTAAGGTTTCGCAACGAATGGTATTAGAAAAAATAAATACTGAATATTGACCAATTAATTGAATGAGTATTCATTTATATCCGACCAGAATATTTGGATCGATACTATTAATTTTTATTTTATTTTACGTAATGAATAAATGAATGCTAGCTGTGGATATCTTTTTGTTGAATTATTTAGATGCTCCTTCGAGATGCTTATCTTATTCCACAAGTTTGTTTCCCTCTTTTATATATTACATTTTTTTTCTCACATGTAATTGTTAAAAAAACGTTTATTTCAGATATTAGTCATAAATTATTAAAAATTCCTAAATTTGTATACGGAATATAATTTCTAACTTGATTTAGTTTTCTAGATGATAATTCGATCCATTTAACAATATGGTCGGATTTACGTTAGCAGTAATAAGATGGACTGATACTTTTAAGATTGGTTTAATTATTTATAGTAATTTCTAAAAAATTCGAATTAATTTTATTATCAAAAAAATATTTTCTATAAAATTAATATAAATAAATTAGTATTAGTTTATCTCTCTTTTTCAATAAAATTAAATAATTATGTTTTTATTATATTATTAATATTCAATAGGTAAGTCCTCTACATAGTTCGATTGGTTTAGACTATTTTTATACATATATTTTTTTTGTTTAGGTGGGTTTTGAGGATATATATTTATAGAGGTATATATATGTATATCTATATATATATATATATTAATATATATACATATATATATCGATATGTATATTCGAATAGGGGTATAAGTGTGGGTGTGTGCACGTGTAAATATCGTATAATATGCAGATGATGAAACGATAAGAGCAAGAAAGAACTTTTGCATGAAAGTAAAAGCTACGAGAAATTAAAAAAAAAAGTCCTTTAAAAAAATAGAAGGCATCAAATTCCCTCGACATTAACCAGTCCTTGCGGAATTCTACTTAATATATATCTTTTTTATTGATTAAATGTTTTATATTTTTTAATGACTTTCGATAATAATAATTAGAAAAGTCTATTTCTTGAATCTAATATCTCATTGTAGTTGTAAACTTGTATATATTCTTCCATTCACAGAAAGAGAAAAATTCAGAAAACAAAAAGAAACCCTCGAGATTAAGTTTAGTTCTTTAATAGATATTTTACCTATTAAAATATTTTATTTAATAATAAATTATGAAAACTAAAATTACGTAGATTACATTAATATGTTCATTCTAATATCAGGTCACTTTACCCATATGGAAATTTAATGATGTGATAAACTTTAAACATATCATTTGTCGTAAATAATATTTATTTGAATAATTACACATTACATCATCAAAGGAAGTTGTATATAATATTCTTATGTAAAAACATTTCTTCTAAATATGATAACCGATCATTATCCAACGCTTTTTATCACCGAAAAAAATTATAACAGCATAATAATATATCTAAAAATATAATAATAACCTGACTAATAATTATATAAATATTATCGTAATTAAATTCAGAATATTATAAAAAAATAATGAATAAAATTATTGACTGGTTTTGCCACTATGACAAGAATTTATCGATAGTGTTCACATGTTTAAGATGATACCAAAATATACTTTCATCTCCATATGCTTTTTTTACTACGTACTACTTGCCATTTTCTCAAGAAAATAAATAATTATAAAATAATCATATTAAATTCTCAAATCGATAAACTCAAATCCTAAATTAAATTCACGTCCACAATTCATAAAAGCATTCTATATAACACGTTTAGAATAGACCTTAGAGACAAACGAATTTATATATATATATATATATATATATATAAAAGGATAGTATATATAAAATAAAACTAAAAGATATATATATATAGTGAATGAGGAGATGGAATGGCCGTATTCACTGCCGAGTCTTCTCCGTTAAAGACTGAATCCGAAGATGGATTCACGCATCGACACATATGCTAGATTTACTTAATAGAATACCACTTGCCAAAAAAAAACCTCGAATTTTGCCATGCAGCATTGTATTGTAGACCATTTAAAAAACAAAAAAAATAGGTGTCATTGCATAGAGAGATTTCATTTTTGTAAATTCATCTTTCATTTAATATTATGATAATTAAAATGTTTACCATAAAATCTTAATTCGAAATCACGAATGCCACCAAAAATTAAACTAATATTTCATGATTCTCGATTCAAGAATTTTTTAGTATAAATGATTTTGGTGTTGTGGAGGGCTTATATCATTTTCTATGCATACACTTTTGTAGTATATATATATGGGAATAGGAGAGATAAATTTAATAGGAAGAAAATGCAATTGGTTGGTCGCGCTCATCCAAACCATTAAATCTTCATATGCAAGGCTCCAACCTTTGCCTTTTCTAAATATTCTTCTCTTCTACAAGCCTTTTTCTTTCCTCTTTATATATATATATATATATATATATAATGTTTTATGGAAAGCTAATTCTAATATCTTTTTCAGTATCCCATGCAACGCGCACACAAAAGAGATTCCTCATGACACGTGTCGCCTCATTCCTCACTTTTGTCTCTGTCTGAATATCCCTTCTGTCTGTATTAAATACGGAATTCCGAATATTCCCTACTCCTCATTTTTTTTAATCATTATTAAGCAAAATTCACCTAATAAATGTCCCTTTATATACACATATATAACAAATACAAAAGTTTTTCTTGTATTTTGGGTAGTGGTATTATTTTGTTTTGTACATGTCGATTTTTTTATTTTTATGTTTTGATTGTTATTACAATCAGTGGTATAATATATTGCTGGTTTATCCAAACTTAGATAGTTAAATTGGTAAAATATAAGTACAAAACGTATATTCGATTCTGAATTCAAATCTTAAATTTGAAGAGGAGACATACATTTCAAATTACATTGTTGATCTTCAATTGCGATATTAGTTTAGGTCTATACTCATTTATAAAATATTTTTTGTTGGTAAAACAAAAATAGAATATATAAATTGTTTGTATATATATATAATAGCCGATCTACCATCATTCGGACACGTTAATTTTACTTAATAAAGTAAAATTTAATTGTAACAATGGTCCTCCAAATTTTATAATTTTTATCAATTTTTGATTTTTTTTAAAGTCGATAGACAAGTTTCGCCATGTATATGCATATAGATATGCTGAATATATATATATATATATAGATACACGAATTAATGTGGGGAAAATAAAAAGAATATACTGTATATGTAGAGAAAACTGATGGTATATGGCCCGAAAAAGCGTATCACCAAAAACAGTTTCGTAAATGTCGCAAAAGAGTTTGGTTTTCTACTTCACTATATGTATATGCCTTGTAAAAAAAATATAAAGTCGTTGTTTCTTCACTTTTTTTTTTCTTTTTTTCCGTATAAATTTTTTTTTCTATTTTTTTTCAAAATTTAATAACTCTCTATCAAAATGTATTTTACATACGACTAGAAAAAATAAAAATTTCAAAACAGAATTAGAAAAACGAACCCATGACAAAAGATATTTTTTAAATAAATTGTTTTCTTCTTTTATTTATCTATATTTTAATAGAAGTGTAATAATTACAA